TCTTTTCCTGATTTTGGCTAGGTCCCTGGATAACATCTAACACAGTTTAAGTGTCCCTTTGCTAATTATTGATCCACTTACCAAAAAAAGAATTAATTTCCTGCAGCAAGAAGTTGACTGCAGCACACTCTTTTCCCTGATTGGCCTCAATTCGACCTTGTAAAATGCACAACTTAAGTTAAAATTTAAAAAAAAAAATGTATGACAAGATAATCAATTGCTTAGTTCAATGATTTTTACCTATCGCAGCAACGACAACAACCACAGTGCTATTCTTAAAATCTGCCTTTCTTGCTATATAAAAAAAAAAACCACCTCCCATCTCTTTGTGCTTTTCCTGTCCTTTCTTCTCCCCACCCCAATATACGGTGATATATTTAAATTTGCATTTCATGCTCATGGCAATTTTTTTCAACAGATCACTAAAATATTGTTACACTTTGTCACTGGAATTATCTTTTATTCTCCCTCAAAAGGCCTGAGTTTGGGCTTTTCCAATATAATTTGATAAGGCTAGAACAAAGAGCACAAGTATTTCAGGACTTATTATATAAATGTGGATTTTCCAAGTTAATTCACCCCATCAGAGCTTTCCCAGTCTGCTCAGTTACTTACATATGTAGCTTTTAAACCTAAGAGCAGATTTAAAAAAAAGGCAATTTACAGTCTCGAGTTAAAGAGATCTTTATAGATAACGTCTTTAGAAAAAATTCACCATAGGGATTATTTTCAAACAACATTGCTCTAGCATTCAACAGAAATTGATACAAAAAGGCAAATAAGTAATTGTCTTAAGAATCCCAAGAACAAGGAAAAAAACCTTTCTAATCTATTAAGGTTTATTTGAATGGTTTCATAATTATAAGCGCTGCATGATGTCAACCAACTTGACTGACAAATAAGCCACAGTTGAGCTGGAAAAAAAAGGCATATTTGGTGGAATTATAGAAAATGGTTCCTAAGGTCTGTTAAGAAAGATACAAATAGTCTTTTCTCAGATCTTTCTGTGAAGTGGACGAGGTGGGGGTGGGGTGGGGGAGATGTCATGGATTCCTTCACATGGGATTTATCTTGAGGCCACCGAAACATCTTTCTCGACCTCCCCTCCCGCCGAGGACTGACCGGTCTGTATGTCCAGCACACAAACTGACCTCTCACCCGGTGGAGATTCGATAAAGGGGGCTTCCTAACCGAAGCCGTCCCCCCACCTCCACCTCGGAGGGGATCCAAGGCGCCCCTGACCTTGGTCAGCGTGAGCGAGGGTGGGGCCGGGACGCCCTGAGACCCCGCCAGGGAGAAGGCCGAGCGCTGGGTGGGCTGGGGCGGAGGCCGGGCGGCGGGGGGATGGGGCCAGGCGTCCCGCAATCCTCAATGACATTCCTGCCTCCAGGTGCCCCGGGCGGATTCGCCGCGCTCTCCCCACGCCACCGAGCTGGCTCCATCCCCCGGCCCCCTCTGGGCGAGGATGCGGGGGCGCGGGCGGGGCCGGCGATCTGGAGAGGACCGGCTGGCTCTCCGCGGCCGCCCCCGCCCGAGCTCACCTGTCCGTTTCCTCCCGCCGCCGCCCCGCCCCTTCCAGCCAGCCCAACGCCTCGAGCCTTCCCGGGGACCCTTTCTCTTCCCTCCCCAGCCTCCCCTGTGTCCCCCCGCATCCCCCCAAAACGCTAGGGTGTGCTTCCCCACCTCCACCCTCACCTCCACCTCCGCCCCCCCCAGGGCTTCCCAGGTTCCCCAGGCCAGGCTCCGAGGCAGAAGAGGAAGCCGCCCTGGCCTGCCCCTGGAGAGTGAGGGGCACCCCACTGCCTCTCACCGGTTCTGGGGTGGGGGAGTGGGGTTCGCAGGGACAGAGGAGGGGGATAAAAGGCTCGGCTCGGCACCTCTCAGCTCCGCTCCTTTCGTTTCCGCAGCGGCCACTGGAGGCAGCGCGCGCTCCCCCGACCCTTTTATAAGCAGCCCAGGCGCGCGCCCGACGGTGGCGCGCAAGAGGGAGGGGGTAATAGTCCGGAGCTGGGAAGAGAAGAAATCACGCAGCGAGGGGTGGGGAGGAGGAGGAGGTGAGGGGCGGGGCTTTCGGGCCTCGCCCCAGCTGGATGGGGCGGAAAGGGCCGAGAGGTTCCGGAAGGAGCCGAACGGGGGTGGAGATTGCAGAGCAAATTGCGTGGGAATAGAATGAGAAAGGAAGACGCCAGCGGGTGGGGGAAGAGAGCTAGCCGAGCTTGGCGCGCCTAGGGTGGGGCCGTTCTCCCAGCTGCCCCCGCCCCCTTGCACAGCCTCCATCCTACCCCACCCCTTGCAGAGATGCGGTCAAGGGCAAGGATTCTAGTTCCTCTAAGGGTGGAGACCACTAAATCCTAGGGTGGAGACCACTAAATCCTAGGGTGGAGACCACTAAGTCCTAGGGTGGGCAGTCAGGACAACAGCGATTTAAAGGGGACCCCTGGACCCATTGTCCCCCTCCCGCCCTGATTCCCACAGCAAAGTGTACTCTATGGGAAAGGAGCCTGCCTATGCTCCTGCATTCTCCGAGTCTAGGATCCCTTCCCCCGTAGCGAGGCGGGGCTGGTCCTCCAGGCATTCGCTGTAGTTCAGCCCTGTAAAAACAGCTTTTGCAACCCTCCGCTGCAGCATCTGCCTTCCTGGGAGTGATGGGGCCGAGACACACGGGATTAAAGCTAGGGGAAGGAGAGAACCACAACATCAAGAGATCTTCATGTCAGATGCACTATTAAAAACAGCAAATACCCTAAGTTTTAATCTCAGAAACCTGAGGGAGATGGGAAGAGAGAACCTACTACTTTCAATAATGACAATCCCACTAGGAGGTGGGGGGGGACGACACATGGCAGGTTCTTTCCTAGAGAAATAGCAGGATAGATTGGAAATATACGTTGGATTGGGAATCCTAAGACCTCTGTTCAAGTCTACCATTTATTAATATGGCGACCCTTCTAAATGTTCATCTGCAAAATGGGGATACCTACTACATCACAGATATGGTAAGAAATGAGATAATAAATGTAAAAACCTTTTGTAAGCCTAAAGAGAGATATAAAGGTGGGATATTTTAAAAGACATTATTTTTCATAGACCCAAGGGCTTTCAAATCCTTTCCTTGGGGTGGGAAATCTGCAGTATGCTTTCCCCCCCCCTTCAGTTCTACTAACAGCAGGAGCTGGAAGAAAACAGCCTTTAGAAGTAGTGGGAAAACCTAATTACCCTGCTATCAGAGAGAGGGAGATCTGCAGTGCTGAGTTGGAGAGTCTCAAAGCCGCATCAGACTGCAACCGTGTTCATTAAATAAACATGGAAAACATTGGCCCTCTGCGCTAAAGGTTGGTCCTGGGCCCTGCTTTGAGGCTCCTTGTACTCAGATGGGCGGGTTCCTTCGTTTGACTTAGGAAGCTCTGCCCAGATTCTTAGCTCCCAGCGCCATACGGTGCGGAGAGGAAAATGTCTTTTCTAGAGGAAGCCATCATCCCAAAAGAAAAGGACCGGCCACTCCCCAAAAGCTTTGCAGACTCAGAAAAATGGGGCACCAGGATGAAATGTTTTCTGAAACCTTCTACGTAAACAAGACCAGAGCCGAACGATTCCTCCCTGGGGGAATCATTTCAGTGAACAGCTGATCCTTTCAATATCCTCTATCACTCCTGGCGGCAACAAAATGTCTAATCAAATATTCAGCTCAGTGTACAAAATGGCATCATTTAATATGTCAGAGGCAGCTATGGCTACTCAGAATGAAAGTACCAGTTTGCACCAATATGGAATGCATTTAATTTGAGTTATGGAAGGATAGCTATAAAAACCTTTTTGTGCCTTTGTCTCCCTTTGAAAAATCATCCTGGCCCCATGAATGCTTTGCAGTGAGGTGGGGCTCCAACTACTAATGCCAAATACAAAGGAGCCTAGAAGCTTTAATACTGTCAAATCACTATACTAATTACAGAAACTACAATCTAATTCCTGTTAAGACATTAACTAAGGCTTTACCTGGAAAACTAAGTCAGTACCAGTGATGACCGCCTCACAATTTAATACTAAGCATTTTAAAGGATTTTCTAAAAGATCTACGTCAACATCTGCATTAACCAATTTCCATTCATTTAACAAGAACTTATTTAGTGCCTAACTTTAGTTGGAATGTCTAAGATTATCACAAAGTATCTTTATGGAAAAGCTCATTTAATGGAATACTATTTATACTGCCTTTATATCTTATGGGCTTTATCAAGTTATGGCCCAGTACATTTTTCTGGTGAATACACACAAAATCAGGGAAAAGCACTAATTGCTTTTTTCTCCCCAAATAATATACTCCACCCTCAAAAAGTACTTACTTCTTACCCTGGAACAATTACAAGTTACTGGAAGGCAAGTATAAGAGAATGCTGACCTGTATTTCACTAACCAAGGTATCTCTTGAGAGAATGTGAAGCCCTATGGGCTGGTAAAGTCACACTTGTTCACAAGTCAACTTTTTGAGTTTTGGTAGTATGGGTCCACACTCTTTTCACCAGTGAATTTCACTGCCTCCAAATGCCTTCGCATCATGTAAAATTTCATCCAGGTTCTTCCATGAATCCTCCACAGGGCATCTACACAACACACTGGAGGATTTATATGGTTCAGTTTCCTCAGTAGTGTATCAATTCACTGGTTGAAGGTCTCATGTTTAGCTTACCAACAGATAAATTAATGTTTGCAGGCAATCTTAACAAAAAAAAAACCCAAAAAACATCCAACTGATTCTTACCACCACCTGGCTTCTTTTATACCACTGGGGCAGAAGTAGGATATACAGGGCAACAAGGGACATTTTGTAGTTTTATCTGTTTCGTGAGTCACCAAGGCTGAAGAATTTACCACCTGGTGGCCCATCTGTAGGTGGTTCGAGAAAAGGCTTAAGGTTGCCTTTACTACCTGGATTAGTCAGTTCATTGAGTAATCAGACCCTAGTTAATTAATTCACACTGACAAAATTCACAAGAGGGAAAATGTAAACAAGAACATCAGTTTATTATATCACAATGGAGACCTTGTATACCTCAATACACAAAGGAACTGTGCTATCACCTGTGTGTTTCCTCTACCAACACACTGTTTTAAAGAGCTGTGGTGGCAAAAACATTTTGTCACCTTGCAGCCAGCCTGGTGATGAGCTTATCCAAATTCAGCTAAGCTGGTCCTTAGATAACAGACATAACAGTCTCCAACAATAGCCTTTGTAATTCAGTTTGAATTTGCAAGAGGAAGGATGCATTTAAGAACCCAAGGTCACTTCCATGTCATCATGGGGTTTAATGGAAGGGGAAATATTTTAAGTTAACAAAGTAGTCCGAAAAGTATGACAAGTTATATACACAGTGGCCCCTTCTTTCCGGTAGGTTCATTTAGGAAGCTAGAGCTCAATACAGTGGTTAGAAGAACATGGAAAAGAGAAAAGAAAAATACCCAGATTTAGTATGGCATTTATAAATATCTAGGATTTGTTCTCATTTCTATAAGGTCTGGTCAGTAATTCAGCCTATACCTACCTTATAAAGTGACGGCTGTTATTCCATTACTGTTCACATACTCTCCACATGCATCACACCGGGCTGCTTTTAGTTCTACCACTTTTCCTACTGCCACCCACGGGTAGCTTTATCTAGCCCAACTCTGGAAAATACTCTTCCTAGGGGAAGGCCCCCAGGACCCATATTTCAAATTGTCTGGAAGGCAAGTAACTTCTTATAGATAAGGGATATCAAGGATTTCTGTCCTATTTATAATTCACACTCACTATATTCAATTTAAGGTTATATAGGGCACTAATTAAAGAAGAAAAGGAAAATGGGCTAACATCCTGAAATAAGGTCAGACCTGGAGGAAAATTAGACAGCAGGTAAGAACTTGAATAAAAACTGAATCAAATCACTACCACTTTAAAGAAACAAGCTCATTCCATCACCAGTTGCATCTATCTAGTAGATTTCTTTCTGTGTAAACTACAATATCAGTAAGCATCAAAAACCTTATCACCCCTCTTCCATTCTCTTATTTGTATAAAGGAGGAAGTGTAGTACTGTGAAAAGAGCACTAGATCTAGAGACAAAGAACTTGGGTTCAAATATCATCTCTGATACTACCTGTATAACCTTGTGCACATCACTTAATCTCTCTGCACCTGTTTCATCTATAAAATAAAAGGATTTGATTAGATACGCTCCAGTTCTAGATCAACTTACATAAACCATATCCACTGGACTTGTCTAAAGATTACTAAGTGACCTTGCACTTATTAAATAAAATACTATGTTAACAATCAACTAGTCTAATCACACCCCTGCTAGACAGAAGGGGCTCAGTTACTAGTTATACAGTAGATGAACTAAAAAAAGAGCAATTTTCCCAAGATTAGAGAATAAGAACCCTGGCCATCTTAACAACTATATAATTATATTACAGACACCACACCATGACCCCAAAGACACAGCTAAAGTCATAAAGAATTAACCATACTGTTCTAACAAAGACACAACCAAGAACCAACTTGCCACAAGTTAGAAATAAAATTTTTATTATTTCTTTTTCAGAAGTGTAGTCAACCATTCACAGAATGAATCACTTCATACTACATAAGTATTAAAAAATTACTAGCTTTACATTACACACATCCTAATTTGACATCAAGTAATAGATCTACAGTTGTTTCCTCTGAGGCATAAAAGGGAATGGTTCTTTTCCTTACAACAAATCCAGAATCTACCAACAACTCAAGCTCTGGATTTCCCTGATGGATGTGACAGACAAATGTATTCTTATTATTTTGCAGATTATTAACATTATCTTTTTACACTCAATCTGTGGCTCATGAAAACTCCCTCCACATTTAATCCAGATGGCACTGACCTCAGGAAATCCTACACTAACTTCAAAAATTAAGGAATTTTCTGTGAGGTGGACAAGTAAAACTAAAGCCAGGTCTAAAGAAATCAATACCATGCAAAAAACTCCTAATTCAAGGTGGCACCTGGTTACTGTCACTAATTCTAGTCAAATTGGCTCAGCCACCCCAAATGCATTTTTAGATTTAATACATGTCACTTATGTGAGCATGCCTTTTTGAATTTAACACAATCTTGAAACCACCTGTAATCCAAAGTTGTCAGAAGCAAATCTAACAGAAACTACTTATGATTACAATTATAAAGGGTTCTGTACCATATTTATTACCATTTAATGAGAATTCTAAAAAGTACTCTCTAAAACTTTGCTCCTTTTCAAGAGAGTCACCTGAATATGAGCAATTAGCTCTCCTCTAAATGTAATGCCCAAATTGCTATAAAGAAAGGAAAGAAAATTGGGACAAGTTCTATAGCAGAAAGAGCACTGGATTTGGGGTCAAAAGATCTAGGTTCAAGGCCAATTTCACCACTTACAAGCTGTGTGACTGAACAAGTCACTTAAACTTCCTGAGCTTGTTTCTTCATCTGTCAAATAGGGATGATACTAATTGCACTACCTACCTGAAAGTACTGTTGTAAGGAGCAAGATAATTCGAAAGCACTTTATAGTCATGAAATGATTTATGAATGTAAACTTACTACCATAATTATTAACTAAATATCTTTCATAAAGAATAAAACTATCAAATTCCTTTTACTATGCCATGGTTATAAAAGCTAATCCTCTTCTTGGCTACTATGTCTACTAGGTGAAGACTCCTTGATGTAATTCATGATCAAGTTCAAGAAGACATTAAAACTGTGAAAATAACCTCCCTTGGCCATGAGATTAAAAAAAAACCCACTACATTTTCGGATTTTAAAATCTGAGACAACTTCCCCCCAAACTCTGCTGTCTTTTGTTCCTTTATTTCTTTCCCTCCAAGAAAGGAACCAGCACCCAAGCCACCATCAGGAACGCCAGAAAGAAGAGGGCAGAGAGCCCTTTGGGACAGGAATCTCCCTGTGATGCAGACATTTCTGGATTAGGAAAGAAGAAAAAAAAATGAATGATTGTCTGTAGAAGCATTTCCAAAACGAGTTAGAAGATGTTATGCCAGGTGGAAAGTATTCAACAACAACAATAACAACAATAAAATCTCACAAGTCTGAATACGTAACTAAAAAATAGAAAAAAAAAAGGTGAGATGGCTCTAAATGAAAAGCTTTGCTTAGGTGAGCCTGATTTTATCTTTCACCATTACTAATGAAATCCAACTCAATGAGGAGTTTGCAGGTTATGCTGGTAGTCCTAATACTATGCCACCAAATTATTTTTGAAAATTAACCTTTTGCTTTTTCTTGGCATTTGGAAAGACTCTACGGGAAAAGTTCGTTCCTTTGGAGAGATTACCACACTTCCTAGTTTATGAGCTCTGAGACAAAGAAAGGGATGTTGGGACAATATGAAAATTCCTTAAAATAAAGGAGGAACCAAAATAACAAATTAAATGGATGATTCTTTGATTTCTAGAACAACTTATCCAAGGTAGGGCACCCAACTATCTAGAGGAGTAGGCTGTGGTTAGTGAAAGTTGATGAGAACTCAATTACTGAACTGAAACCAAAGTAAGGGAAAAAAACAGACCAGAGAAAAGAAGAGTTCCAAAAAGCCAGGATACACAAAATAATGAAGAGAAGGAATGAAGACATGACAATAATGGAATAAAGATCCAAGAACTTCTCAGACATTTAATTTACCTCCAAGAACTGTTTGAGACGTATGAAAGACCCCATCTGTCCTGAGCTGGTGATAGCTTCAATTCTAAAGAGAGAAAAAGAAATTAAGTTCAGATGCACAAGAGAAACATTAAAGGAAGACAGGGAGAGTCGGGATTATCCTTGTTGGCAAACAACAGACATCTGTCTTTCAGAGCTTAGTTAAGTACAGTCTTGTCACAGAATTTCAGAGTTGGAATGCATCACTAGCCATCTAGTCTAGCTCATACCCAAAAAGGAATCCTCCATTTAAGTGTACCAGACAAATGGTCACATAGCTTCTGCTCGAAGACCTTTAAGTAGTAGGAACCCATTACCTCCAAAGTAGGCCCATTCCACTTTTTGGCAGCTCTGTTAAGGTTTTCTTAGCATCAAGTTTAAGTTTGACTCTGCAACTTCCACCTATCAAAGCCTAGTTCTGTCCTCTGAGGCCTAACCTTTTTTTCACAAACAGCCCTTCAAATACTTCAAAGATAGCTATAATACTTCCCACCTCCCTGAATCTTTTCTAGAATAAACAGCCCTAATTTTTTTTTTGGGCAATTGGGGTTAAGTGACTTGCCTAGGGTCACATAGCTAGTAAGTGTCAAGTGCTTGGTCTGAGGACGGACTTGAACTCAGGTCCTCCTGACTTCAGGGCCGGTGCTCTATCCACTGTGCCACCTAGCTGCCCCCAACAGCCCTAATTTTCAAATAATCTTTACAACATCAACTCAACTGAGGATTCTGTAGCTTGTAGTGCAAGGATTCCCAACTTTTTTGATGGGATATGCTAGCAGCTCCAGGCATCATCTTCCTCCCAACTGGAAACACTACTAAGATACACACACAGGGAAAACTACAGCCCCCCAGACTGACCAGATTAGGTGATCACTTATGCTATCACAATTTATTGGCTGCAGATGCATGTCTTACTGGCTTAAGATGTACAAGAAACATCTTAGCTAATTTTATATGTGTGTGTGTGTGTGTGTGTGTGTGTGTGTGTGTGTGTGTGTGTGTAAGACAAGTGAGAAATGCCATGTATACTAACCCCAAACAGTCCTTAACTAGAGCTATCTTGAAGGGGCCAAAAATGCTTTGTGGACATTTTTATCAGCTTTCAAATGTTATCAAATATCAATGTGGAAGAAGTACCTTTCTTTATATAATGATATTGCTCAATATTAGTAACAGAAATTTTGTTTTTTGGTATCTAATTCAGAACTGTATCCAATAACCCATGTTGTCTCTGTTCATCAACTTTGGTACCTGGGGAAATATTCTTCTTTTATGAGTAGTAGTATCTTCCAGAATTGAACTTGGTACTGTCTCATGAGTGCATTCCCACATACCTGGAAGAGGCAGGCAATCAGTGTCAGAGAGGAAATAGAAACTTCCACTGACCCAGAAAGATCTAGAAGGCCCAAACAACCTTTTATTTTCTACTTTTCCCACAGAGCATGCCAATCATGCCACTGACCCAGCCAACAGTGGCAGCCAATAGTTTCCTAAAGTATTTGTCTCATTTACCAAATACCACTGAAATTATTCCACATAATTTTTTCTAGCTTATACCTTTAAAAGTCAAAATTTCATCTCACCCATTTTTGATGGTTTGCAGAAGATGAGACTTCCCTGTCTTAATCTAGGTACACTAAACATAAGTAACTTTTTCTTCAAGAACCAAGGTCAACATTATGAACATCTATTACTGATGTGAGAAGAGACTATAAGCTGTAATTATTCTGCAATATAGTGATATGCTTGCAACTGAAATGTATACTCCTACTTCATTGTGGTTCATCCTTCATTCTTGAAGAGGACCATGACACCATGGAGATGATGACATGACCTGCAATTGAATTGGATTTGTGTGAGGGAGGGCTGTGCAAAGTCACCAGCCTCACTTTCTCCTTCAGAGCCATCTGGGTCCAGTGGCCAGATATAGATCAGGATGACTGCAGATGTCCCAGGATGCAGTGGGAGACCTTGGCCTTTTTAAGATAAGGTCTTTTCCAGTTCTCACCCTGAGTGAGGCAATGCTCATTCAGTGAATAGGCTACTTTAAGAAGTGAGTCAAGAGATTCCCAAGTCCTAGACCACTGTGCATTATGTGGTGTATGTGTGTGTGTGTGTGTTAGCAATAATTTCATGCTATTGCCAGTACATCAATTTCAAGTAATTTTTTTTTCCAAATTTATTGCTTCTAATTTACTCAGGGCTAGGAAAAGTAATGACCAAGGTGGTTAGAACTGTGTCTAAAATGAAACAGAATACGCTAAGTGAAGACTTGAAGGGTTACCCTATAAGAAAGTAGAGACTTTGTAATACTCATTTTGGTTGTTCAATGGCCTTTTTACAACCTGTTTTTCAGATATATTCCAGATAATGAATTTGCCAGGTAGATGCCTTAAGAGTAGGCCTGCATAACCTGTGGCCTGTGGACCATTTATGGCCCTCCAAAGTATTTCCAGTGTCCTGAGAAAAATGTAGAGGAAAACATCCTTTGTACGTAGAGGAAATTCTTTGGCGGGTTGCAGGTTGTGCAGGCTTGCTGAAGAGATAAGGGAGTCACTGACCCTGGAAGGACTAACAGGGGCGGGGAACATGTGGACCTGAGGCCACAGGTTCCACATCACTGGTAGGATCAGTCCTACTTACAATGGAATAAATTAACACACAAAGAAAAAACAACTAGCTCAGAATTCCCCTAAATTACTGTTGTAGTTCTGAACAAAACAAGTAAGCCTGGATTCCTGGGATGTGCTACTGCCTCAATATCTCCCAAGCACATGTTCTTTCAGTTCTATTGCCCTTCAATACATTCTCCTATTGGCCAAGGAATTAAAAGGCATCTTTGCCCATTGGCTTCATCCGGAAAGGATGCTACCATGTACCTCTAAGAAGTCAAAAAGAAGAGTGGCAGTCACATCTGACAGAGGTTTCATGTTCAGCATTTGTGCCAACCAGCGCCAGCCGTGGTTTAAGCCATGAGGATGAGCCTAGAAGCAGAATTCAATCATTTAACAATCTTTATTCAAGCCAGAGAATCTCCCTTCATCATAGAATTTTTAAAGGATGGAGGAAACCCCATTAACAGCTATATCTATCTTTGCCATAGGATGGGAATGACAAATAGAATGAATCTTTTTTAATGGGACGGACTAATCCACTGAGTCTCCTAACTTTTCCTTCCTGGGATCCCTGAGATATCTGACTCAATTTCAGAGACTATAGTTCACCTCCTCAATGTTGATACTTACATTTTACATTACTAATAGTAGTTTATATTTCTTTTTCTCCCTTTTGGGCTTGAGTGAAAACAGGTCCACAGCAAATCACACTTTGAAGACCCTGAGCCCAAATCTGGAAGGCCTTAACTAGCGCAGTCAGTCCATTATTTACTGACAAAACACACTGCCTTGTGCTCATCTTCATTCCTCGAGTACCACTTGTTCCTTCCTCCCTAAACAATACCTCGCCCCATCAGCTCATTCAGTGAGACTTCTCTCCTGAAGAAAATGAACAGCATTTCCCATATGTCCTGACAGAGCATTTTCTGAACAAAATCTCCATTGTTAGAGAATCTGGTCCAACCTCCTATTACAGTTGGGAAGTCCCTCCTGCCTACCCCTTGCCTATTTCCGTAAGGCCAACGGAGCTGAATGATGGCAGCATAGAGACGAATCATCCCAGACATGCGTTTCAGAAAATTATCCTGTTGTTCGACTTTGGAATCCTTTACTTGGTAGCCAAGGAGCCTGTAAAGAAAAAAACCAAAACATTCAATGTGATAAGGATAAAATGAGAATGAGGAACCTGAGCTGCTAGTTTAGCAATCTAATTTACCTCTTGTGGCTACAAAAACCTATTCCTTCCCTCTCCTGACAAATCAGACACACAAAGATTTCTCAGTCTGCAGCAAAAGGCATGGTTAATCTCTGACAGAGGACTGGATTGAGCAATGGGAGAATCTGCATTTTTCTATTCTATCATTTCGATTCAATATAACATATATCTATCAAGCACCAAGTTTGTGTAAGACACTGTGGTAGACACTGGGTATAGAAAACACAAAAACAAAATAGTCTCCATCCTCTAGAAGCTTACACTCCACTGCGAGTAATTTTACTGTAATATAGTGATGTGTATAATGCACACAAGTAAATACTAAGTATATACAAAATAATTTCAAGAGAGAAAATATGCTAAAAACTATGTAGAACATGAAAGGCCTTATACAGGACATGGTGGCAAGTGAATGAAGCTAGGATTATAGAAAACAGGCAAGAAGAGGGTGCATTCAATATATGAGAGATCTTTTTCACTAAATGAATGACCTTTGTCAATTCAGTTCTCTTCTCAATTTGTTTTTCCCAACTAAATGGTAAGGATAACCATTCATGTCAACTATATAGCAGGGACTACAGAAGCTAGATCAAAGTTTAAACCTATATGTCACATTATACTTTGTAAAACAATGATTTAATTCTATTGGGGGGTAAACTCAAAGGTTAATTGTTGACAAGTGACACAAGGGAGACTAAGATAAAGGAGGGTGCTTGATAAATACAAGCAGTTTTTCTTTTTCTTTGGCAAGGCAATTGGGGTTAAGTGACTTGCCCAGGGTCACACAGCTAGTAAGTGTCAAGTGTCTGAGGCCGGATTTGAACTCAGGTCCTCCTGGCTCCAAGCCCGGAGCTCTATCCACTGTGCCACCTAGCTGCCCCTAGTTTTTCTCTTAATAGCAGTTTTCTGTGACAGGAACAAAAAGAAATCTAATTCTTTATTCTTTAATGATCATTCCAATAAATGCTAAATGGTTTGAAGTAAAAGTATTCTCACTTCTGATATTCTTCCAAGGCCATTCCCTCCTTGAAGGCTGGGTAGAAAGGCACAGAGTAAGGGCACTTTTTGTGGAGATGAGCAAGGATGAGGTCCCCCACTCTGGGATGGAGTTCCCAGATTCCTGATGCCACAACAGCAATGGGGAATGCTGCTTCATGGTGAGAAGCCACTTCTTCTTCTCCTTGTTTCTGCCAATAAAAAAGTAGCCTCAGTTTTCAGGGAAGTCTTCTACTTCTCTCTTCAGCCTCCAAAAATAAAAGCAACTCTGACCCTGTGATTTCAACACTATTGGAAAGAATTCCCAGGGAGGAAACTCCCTATGCCAATACAAATCAGTAACTGTACTGGTTAGAAAGTATGCCTTAATGTCAGGATTGACAAGCCAAGGGTCAAGGGTTCAAGTCCTGCTTCTGATATATACTAACTATGTGAATCTAGGCAAGTCACTTAACTAATCAGTGAGCACCCCAGACAACTCTCTACCAACAATATCTGACATTCACATAAAAAGTTTACAAAAAATGCTTTCTGTATATTATCTTATTTAATCTTAAAAAAACCCCTTCCCATGAAGTTGGTACTATAGGTGTTAATGAATGAATGAATAGATGAAAAACACTTATTAACCATTTGCCACATGCCAAGAATGTATTTTAAAGATAGAGAAACTGAGGCTCAAAGGAGTTAAGCGATTTGTCCAAAGTCCCACAGCGAGTGAGAGGTGGGATTTGAATCCCAGTTCTCTCCACACCCAAGGCCTGTACTGCTTCCACTATATTATGTAGCCTTTCCAAAACAGTTTCTCTTACCACAAATTTCTCTGCCAGCTTGTAATGGACAAAGTCCAATCCTTGTGGATGGTTCGTCACTGACACAGCCCGACCTCCACTGTGAACAGCCTTTCCCAAGAGCAGATTGTTGATCTTATCAAAGATCTCCTTCAGCTGAGAGCCTGTGGTAGACAAGACATAGGAACAAGGAGAACTACAGATGATCAACAAGTATTTGAGCACACACCTAGTGGTCCCTCTGATAACACCACAATTAAACAATTAATAAAAGCACAGAACAATACAGAGAAATGGGCCTTGCACTGTGGGAGCTTGCAGTTTAAGCCTGAAAACCTCGATGCAAACAAACCCCTCAATTACTTATTTAACACATATCAAGGTCGAACAACAGGATAATTTTCTAAAACGCACGTCTGGGATGATTCGTCTCTATGCTGCCATCATTCATATTTAACACACAACTAAATAATATCATACATCCCAGGACACCTAGCATAGCATTGTGCTAGGACAATGGCAGCTACAACAGTAACATCAGTCACACTTTCTGTAATCAGAGAGCTCACAACTTAGGTGGGAAGTCAACACATAACACATGAAAACCCTGTGATGCCGCTCAAACTGAGTAGTACAGACCATTAAGTGCTGCAGCAGATTTACACACGCAGCAGTGCTTTTCTTCATATTCCCTTTCTTCACCCCTGCTCCTGTCTACCCAGGAAGTCCATAAATATCTCAGGAAACATTACAGAAGTCTCAGAAATTTTCTCCAAAACTTTTCATTTTAATTCACATTCATATTTTAAATGCCACACATTTTAGAGAGATGAGCATGACATCAAAGAATGATGAAAAACTGGATTCCCTAACATCCAGAAACATAGTTACACAACTTTACATTCAGTCATAAAAGCACCCGCATTATGTACCAACAGTGGTGCCAGAATATGTACATGGTAATGCAAATACCACTTATTCCTAGGTCATATTTTACCACCACTTTAGATGTGGTTTAAATCTCCCCCACCAATCTTACTTTGTGGAGAAAGGGCCCACTGCCACCAACCGCTGACCAACTGCCAAACAGCAGGTACACCCAAGAAGCCCCAGGAACAAATACTACTCACTTTCCCTCTTCTCAATTACTAGCCTAGTCCCTGCAGCCATCATTCAGAGGAACACCCTTGTGGAGATATGACCTATCAAATGCCTCTGCAGGTCCTGTAGCCCCCACCTCCTCCTCCACAGCCACAACTACTGAAGAACCAGAAAAGAATGTTCTTCCCACCAAGGTCCTTGGAATTGTCAAATGGTTTGACATTAGAAACTGATATGATTTTATTAGTGGAAATGATATTAAGTAAGTAGTACTACCATCTACTTTGCCTCTATACCCTAACAACCACTAGGTCTTTCCACATGCCTTGCAGCAAAAACCTACCATATATGTGCTGTCTCTCTCATGAGTATAAGAGCTCCTCCAGAACAAGAATTGTCTTGTACATGAAACAAGATAGTATATAACAGGAGCCAGAGACCAAAGGTTTTGGGTGATGGCTTGCTTGACTGAAGATAATGAGTTAATAAATGAAAAAAACTGAGGCTTGTGGGGAGGAAGTAACTTGCCTCTTTAGATCTCCAGGGCTTCGAGTTTATACTATCTACTGAGCAACAATTTGTGATTCTGAGGATTCCTTACCCAGGTCCATAAAATGTAATCACTTGATCTGAAAGAGGGTCTTCCTAATCATTGTTCTTTATTTTTTTTCTCTAAATACCAATCTTCAAAGAGATAAATTTGTATATTCATCCCATTCTTTTCCTAAACACATTCTCATTAAACTCTAAGATGAAGAGGCAGGATCTTGGCCACACTAACCTGCTATAGTAGAGATCTGACTCACAGGAATGGTGGCAGCTTTCTGCAGGTCCATCTTGATCTTTTTAGTCTGCCCAACAACAGATAGAAAGGAAGGGGAATGAAACAATGTTTTGAAGAAGCTAATATATCCCACTCAGGACAAGTTGATTATGTTGGCTACATTCAGTTATGGCAGAGACCAGGAACAGCCTTCGGGCAAATTCTATGGAGAAAACTTTCAGGACCAAGAGATTCATTAACATTGCCCCTTACCCCTACCTGATGATCTTTGCTGTTGGTTAATCCATCAAAAGCCAACATACACTGACTGGCAGCATCCTGTAGGTGCTGGTACCACTGCATTGTACTGTCTCCTGCTTTCACCTGGAGGCCTGAGGACAAAGAGCCACGTCTCATACTTTTATATCATATATCCCAGGACACCTAGCACAATGCTATGTACACAATAGGTGCTCAATTTTCAGAAATCCACCCTAAGAAAACTGCAGAAGATCCCAAGAACCTCATGGGAAAAGTCAGAGTCCAAACTCAGGATTTGCATTTATTAGAGCAAAATATAATAGTAACATGTGAGAAGCCATAGCTGATTATATGGCGACTTAACTAGTAAAAGCATTCCAAAATGGAAATGACTGTTTCATCTACCTCATCTCAGCATGTAAGCTGTCCCTCTAAAAAATGTTTTAAAATTTACCTAATAAGGTATTATTAGCCATCTGAACAGCTACATGATGAATATCTATTACCTTCTCTCTGTTTTCCTCCTGGGAACTGGGTAAGAACTGGGGTCTCCTTTTCTGCTTTTGGTTGCTGCTGTAATTCCCTCTGCTTCTCCTTGGCCTGCTCTTCATCTTGTCTCTTCTTTTCCTCAATAGCCTTGGAAATCTCCTGTTGCAAGCTAGTAAGCACCTGCTGCATTTCTTGCAGGGCACGCTCTGCCATGGCTTCATCCTCTGGAGTAGGAAAACCTCTCTGCAACCGAAAGTAAAGCAGAGCTTAGTGGACAGCTTCCTGAAACAGAGAGGGCTTAGAGAATAAAAGGACATAAGTCAACACCAAAATACCACCAAGAGTCTGGATCATCTCACCGAAAATTTAAAATATGTATGGCTTTTTTTTTTTTGAGGCAATCAGGCTTAAGTGACTTGCCCAGGGTCACACAGCTAGTAATTGTCTGTGGCTAAATTTGAGTTCAGGTGCTCCTGACTCCAGGGTTGGTGCTCTATCTACTGCCCTACTTGGCTGCCCCTAAGATATATATGTTTAAAAATGTTTAGTATTCCTTTTATCAGCACTCTTCTGTCAAGAGAAGAAACAAACTGGGGAGGAAGCTGCTGTAATAGGTTCCAAAAAGTCCTTCCTCAGGGGTCATTTCCATTAGACAACAGGAATTATAATTATAATCCACTAGTATCACACTTGTGGCCCTGAGGAAGGAAAATCCTGGTGTTGGGAACCAGATTAAAATGCAACTGAGAAATATTAAACAAAATAAATAAAAATTCGACATAACATAAATAATGTTAATTTGTGGTTTTCTAAATCAATAATGTGGTTTCCAGGGATCCATTTCTATTTGAGTTAGGCACCACTGTTATAATCCACTCCCTTGCTTTTTGGTGAACTCAGGAACTCTACACCAAGGTATTATAGCTACTTTTAACCATGGAAAAAAAGAATTCTCTTGACACCAGGTATTAAGTCTCAAACCCTACAAACCTAAAATTTTTGATAATAAAGATTAAATCTATTTCAAGAAAATCTTTATTTATTTATTTATTTTTGGTTTTCAACATTCTCTTTTATAAGATTTTGAGTTTCAAATTCCCCCCCACCCCCAAGATGGCATGCAAAGATTAAATCTATTAATTTATTACCCACCAAAATTGCCTTTAGATATTTTTATTATGTAATGCTTACATGAAATCATACAAAAAGATTTTTTGGGTCTAACCTATCATTCCTTTCATGCAGAGAACTCCTGATGAGAAAACTTCTACCAATGTAGACTGATACTTGCTCTATAATTTATAAGAGAGTTGTTTAAAGCATTGAGAGATTGTGACTTGCCCAGGTGACAGAGCCATTATATGTAAGAGGCTGTACTTAAAGAACCACGTCTTCCTGATTCCAAAGCCATCTTTTTCTACTATGCTAAGATTGACACATGATGGTAGGGAAAACAAACATAAACGCACCCTCAAACAGTAATGATGGTAGGCAACGACCCATGCTTAAGATTTCCACAGAGTGAGTTCTTTCTAAAAAAACCTTTCTCTCCCCAAGTGGATAGAAAGGGAAACTGAGGCCATAAGTTGTCAAATGACAACTTAGTATGTAGTAACAAAGCTATAAATAATGTAGTTACTTATTCACCCATAAAGAAATATCTGAGGGGCAGCTAGGTGGTGCGGTAGATACAACACTGGCCCTGAAGTCAGGAGGACCTGAGTTCAAATCCGGCCTCAGACCAAACACTTGACACTTACTAGCTGTGTGACCCTGGGCAAGTCACTTAACCCCAACTGCCTTAAAAAAACAAAACAAAACAAAAACCCAAAAAAAACCTGAGAAAGGACTGCTCAGGAAAAGGAAGAAAACTGCTAGGTGATTCTCTTACCTCACTGGTGGTTCGAATGATGCCCGAGATAAGCCCACATAGCTGGTTTCCTCTGCTTCCATACCCAGAAAGGTCTATTCTCAGCAGGTCTTTGTGCTGATAATTGGGGTCCAGCTGCTGGTTGAGCTGCAACACCTCCTCTTGAAGGGCATAGAGACGTCGCAAACGAACCTGACCCTCTTCCTTTCTAAGCCGCTCTTGTTCTATCTGCCTCAACCGCTGCTGTTCAGCCTCACGTAGCTTCAGGTTGAGGATCTACAAAGAAGCCATCAGGTGAAAGCCTGGCCTTTAGGACTTCTCTCAAATGATTTCTAGGCCCATTACCTTCATATGTTAAGTTCTATAAAGTCTAACCATTCTGTAAGTAGGGGCAGCTCCAGGGCAAAAAAAGGAATTCTCCAGAATCATATAGAGCCAACGGTGAGAAAAACCAGAACTGGTTGTACTGTGACATAGAGAGAGGTCTCTATCACCAGCGGTGTTCAAATGGAGGGGTTGACAGATGTCAGGGATGCTAAAATAGGAATTTCTGCATTGTTTGAAAGATTAAATTACATGACCTAAGAATTCTTCAGAATTTAAGATTCTATAAATCAAATTCTAGTATTCCACTGCCCACCCAGGACTCTGATTACAATAGTCTCATAGAGAGGTTACAAAAGGGAAACAAAATGGCCCACAAAAGCTTCTCAGTCACACTATCCATATTTATTTCCAAGCCTCTGACCTTGGCTCTATGACGATGTTCTTCTTTTAACTTCTCCTGCTGACCTTGTGCTTCTTTGAAACTGAAATGGATATAGAAAGGAAAAAAATCATGAGGAATGCTTACTCAAAAACTGTTCTCCATGACATACACAATTAGTACAATAACACAAACAATACTAAGAAATAACTACATTCAGATCACTGTAGTGACTAAACTTGGCTCCAGAAAACAGATTTAGTATCCTAGACAAACAGTCTTAGTATCCTAGACAACTCTTTAAGAATATAAATGGAAGGACAAATGGTAATCTACATCAGTAGAAGAAGAAAAACAGAGATAAAGAGAAGGCTCAGTGGTGGGGAAGGGGTTTTACTGAGAAAAAATTGTAATATAAAAGCCATCAATAACACTTTAAAAAGTTGTTTTCCTAAATGTACTAAAGGTACCTAAATTTCAGATCATCTTTCATAGGAAATAATCTTCCCTGGGTCTTTTATTCTGATGCCAATATCTTACATTTTGGGAATATAACTGCTTATCCATTTCTATCTAACCTCCCTAACACCATCCATAACTTGTTAGCCTCTGGATGTTCCCACCTTTTCTCTATCACCTCCCGAAGGTCCTGGTATTCTTTGTGCTGTTTCAAAGACTTTCGTTCATCAAAACGCTTCAGTTGCTCTGATGCCATCTCAGACAGAACCCGTACCTTCCTCTCATGTTCTTCCTGCCACTGCCTCAGTCCTTTCTGAAAGAAAAATTGAAAAACTTTAAATACTAGAAGCAGACACAGAAGACCTGTGTCAAGCCTGCCCCATAACTATGTTATCTTAGGCAAATTACTTAAATTTCTCTGGGACTCAGTTTCCCAATTTGTAAAAACAGAGTTTGAGTAGATGAACTCTGACTCCCTTGATTCCAGGGTTGGTTGCTGTATCTACTGTACCATCTAACTGCCCCAAAAGTCTTCTTAAAAAAAATCATTCTTTATTTGGAACTTAAACACAGAGGAAAAAAAAGCATTTCCATAAACACAGCGGAACCTAAGAAGTTTCTACATGAAACCGTGATCTTCATTTCATACTGCTGGATTCTGAAAAAAGTATGTAATTCCACATATTACTTTCAAAACTGTCTTGCTTGTCTATGCTTCCTTCTGAACTTCTGTGTGTTTTAAATAATGTTCCAACAGTCCTCTCATTTTTGACATTATTATTGTTAATTTCCCCCATCCAACTACCCCCAGTTAAAAACTGAAAGAAAAACAAAACTTTCATAACAAGAAAGAACAGTCAAGCTTTCGAAAGCAACAGAAGGGCCACATCCAAAATGGATGCAAGCACTTTTGCACCCTGTATCTGTTACCTTTCTGACAGAGGAAATAACACCCTTCATCCATCCCCTGGGGATATGGCATTGATTAGAATTAAGTCTTTCAAAGTTGTTTGTCTTTATAATGTTGGTGATTTTGTATAAACTGTTCTGCTGGTCCTACTCACTTCACTGTGGTTCACATACCACCCAGAATTTCCTGAATCATTTCTTTTGTGATTTTTTGTTTTAGGCAATGGGGTTAAGTGACTTGCCCAGAGTCACACAGCTAGTAAGGGTCAAGTGTTTGATACGAGGCTGGATTTGAACTCAGGTCTTCCTGACCTCAGGGCCGGTGCCCTACCCACTAGCTGCACCTTCTTTTGTAATTTCTTATGGCACAATAATGTTCCATTACCTTCATACACCACAATTTGTTTAGCCATTCTCCAACTGATGAACATCCCCTTAGGTTACTGTTCTTTGATTTTATTTTTTCCCCCATTTGATTCTTTCTTTCTTCAAGAATAGGAAGTTTATTTCGCTCGTTGCTATTCCCGCTCTAGTATTATCTTCTCTCTTATCCTCCCCACACCCCCCAATGCTTGTTTCCCTGCTGATTTTGATTTATTTCTACACTAAACTCTGTGTGTGTGTGTGTGTGTGTGTGTGTGTGTGTACACACAGATTCAACCCTTCTTTGTCCATTTCAAAATGAGATTTATCTGATGTCTGCTCCCAATACGCCTTCTTTTATGGTGGTATAGTCTTCTCACATGCAGGTTACACTTCCTCCTTTCTATATTAGTGTATTTCTTCTCCTTTTACCCTCACTTCCCTCCCTTCTTCAAACCCTCATAATAGAACCAATCCAACTACAAGTCCTTTGTTTTTCTTGACCCCCTTGATACTTAGGGTTCTCACAGGACACCTGTTTATTCTCTCCCTTTATAAATGTTAGCACTACATCATCATATAGCTTCTTCCAAATCATAAATGAAAACTGCCCAAATATTTTATTCTTCATCTATGATTTCCTGAAATATAGTGTCCAGGCTTTTTTGCCATGGTTTTCAAGATGTTCATTAATTCTTAAATTGAGAATCTCACCTTGATCTGTTTACTAGATGAGATAGCTTACATTTCTATTTTTTTTCAATCTTTTGATTTTAGTCTTTTTTTCTTGCTATCTCAGCAAGGCAATGATTTGTGTTTAGTCTATTCTAGTTTTTAGGGAGTCTGTTGCTTGAGAAAGGTTTACCACTTTACCTTCTAAGCTATTTATTCTCCTCTGAATTCCTTTTCCTTGAACTTTTATTTCATTTTATTTCATTTAATTTCTCGCTTCTTGTCTTCTAGATATTCATGAGTCCTTGTGGAAAGTCCACTTTTTTTCCTTTGAGTCACTGCTTATAGCTGTTATAATAATTTCCTTCTTATTTTGTGAGAATCTCTAGATCTATAATAATTTTTGACATTAGTTAGTGATATTTTTATTGATCCCTCCAGCTTTAGTATCTAAATTAGGGCTTTATGCCAGAGGAAGACTCTACCCTCTGAAGAACTTCTCAGTGGGCTGGTCTTCCCTCAGTGGTCTTGCCTGGGTCCCCTTGGTTACTGAACTGCACTCTACCTCCTGGGCATAGGCCCCCCTATGAATCTTTGAAGCCAGAGAAATGGATCAAGGGAGCCCTCTATAACATCTCAAGACAGAATGCTAGGGACACCTCAGATCCCATGGGTACCTGGGGTATATAATGAATATTTGAAAGATAGCTTACAATCAGCAAGGTATGAGCTACCAAACATATTGATTTATTAAGCTTATGCATGCCAACTGCATAATAAATTGGGACCAGACCTCCTCGGCTTTAGTACTAGACTCCTAAGAGGAGAGAATGAACAAGGGAAGACAGATTTTTATGCATTAAAAATAATTAATCAAATAAGACCAATTAATTAAAAGAAAACTAACAGGGTACAAACCAGGACACAAAATTAGGTAACCGATTTTTAACTGGCGGAAAAGATTAGAGGCTTTCCAAGGTGATAGGGGAATGATTAAGTTTTGAGAGTTGGGAGCAGGGAGAGCAAAGACATGCAAATCCCTGAAATCAGAAAAAGAGGTGTCTCACTTCTTCCACATGTCTGTAAATAATCAAAGGAACATAGAAACACTAACTGATTGACCAGCATGGGGCCAGTTTTTAGATAAGACATGTGGGTTGATTGAGATGTACAGTTGTGAGAAAACAACTTCCATCAACCTTCAGATCTGACTGAGTTTCTGGTCAGCACAACCTAGGTCCTTAGTTAAGAGTCTCTAAGCAACAGGTAGAGGGGGTCTAGCTTCCTAGCCACAAAGGGTTAGGTTCAAACAATGCCATAAAATTTTCTCACAATTCCCATAACTGAATAAAGTTTTCTTACAAGACAGAAATTGAACTAAATCCATAAGTGAACAGAAAGGGAACTGAGATAGATCCACAAATGAATCAAAAGATGAGGTCAGTGTGGTTCAACTTCCACAATTCCCTCAGCAGGTTGTGAAGGGACTTTAAAAAGTATAAAGGAGATTATATTTTATACGAGAGCAAGTGTTCTTAATCTAGGTAAAAAAAATTTTGATAGGTAAGCAGAGCCAAGATGGCAGCACACAGGCAGCAAGCTGGCTGAACTTTCCCAATACTCTCCTTCAAACAAGCTTTAAAATAAGCACTGAAAACCTACAGGTCCTCAGAACTAGCTCTGAAAACAGCAGCATGAAAAACCTGAAGCTTGGGAAAGTGTCCCCTCCACTCTGCTAGTGGAGCCCAACTTTAACCTAAAGGTAAAAATTTAGAAATAGCCTGGAAAAATGAGCAAGCAAAAAAAAGCACCTGACCATGAAAAGCTACTATGCTGACAGGGAACATCAAGACACAGATGAAGTTCAAGGATGTCAAAACAGCTACAGGGAAAGTCTCAAAGAAAAAATGGGCAATGGACACAAACCAAGCAAGAATTCCTGGAGCAGCTCAAAGAGGATTTTGAAAATGAAATAAAAGAGGTAGAAGAAAAATTGGGAAAAGAAATGAGAGTGATGCCAGAAAATTATAAAACAGAGAGCCAACAGCTTGGTTAAAAAAGGCACAAAAAATAATAAAGAAAACAACAATTTAAAAAACAGAATTGGTCAAATGGGAAAAGAGGTACGAAAGCTCACTGAAAAAAATAATTCCTTAAAAATCAGATCTGGGCAAGAGGAAGCTAAAGACTCCATGAAACATCAAGAAACAATAAAACAAAATCAAAAGAATGGAAAAAAAAACTGAAGAAAATGTGAAATATCTCATCAGAATAAAAACTGACCAAGAAAACAGATCAAGGAGAGATAATTTAAGAATTATTGGATGACCTGAAAGCCATGGTCAAAAAAAGGGTCAAACAATTATAAAGGATGATGGAAAATGCTATCCACATTCAGAGAAAGAACTGATGGGAGTCTGAATGCAGACTGAACCATATTATTGTCACTTTTTAAAAATCTTTTTTGCGGCTTTATCCTTTTGAGCTGTTTCTTCTTTCACAACATGACTAATATGGAAAATGTCCACGACTGCCCATATATAACCTATTTAAAATTCTTACCTTTTTAGAGAGAGGTGAGGGGAGTTAATGGAGCTTTCTTTAAAATAAGTAGTATCTATCTAAAATCATTAGCAACATTATTTGTAATAGGAAAATGTTAGAAGCCTTCCCAATAAGATCAGAGGTGATGCAAGGATGCCCATTATCACTACCAACATCAATACTATTCTAGAAATGCTAGCTATAGCAATAAGACAAAAAAAAGAAATTAATCAGAGCAGGCAATAAGGAAACAAAACTCTCTTTGCAGATGATATGATGGTATGCTTATGAGAATCCTGGAGAATCAACTGAAAAACTAGTTCAAACAATGAGGCTAAATCAATATAATAAAAATGACAAGTCTACCTAAATTACCTTTTACAGTGCCATACCAATCAAACTACCAAAAGTTTATTTTATCGAGCTAGAAAAAATAATAGCAATTTATCTGGAAGAAGAAAAGGTCAAGAATATCAGGGAAATCCATGAAAAAAATTGTGAAGGAATGTAGCCTACCAATACAATATCTCAAACTGTATTACAAAGTGGTAATTATCAAAATCATCTGGTACTAGCTAAGAAAGAGTGGTGGACCAGTGGAATAGGTCAGGTAACACAATAGTAATCTAGAGTTTAATAACCCAAAGATCCAAGCTTTTGGGACAAGAACTCATTGTTTGACAAAAACTTCTGGGAAAACTGGAAAGCAATTTGGCAAAAACTAGGTATACATCTCATGCTGTATACCAAGATAAGATCAAAATAGGTACATGATTTAGACATAAAGGATAATACAAGCATAGAGGAGTGTGGAAAATTTTTAGCTGTGAAATCTATGGATAAGAGAAGAATTTATGACCCAAGAGGAGATACAGAGCATTATGGTCTGTAAAATGAGTAATTTTGATTACAGTAAAATAAAAAGGTTTTGCACAAATTCAATGCAGCCAAGATTAGGAAAAAAGCAGGAAACTGGGGGAAAAAATTTATAGCAAGTTTCTCTGATAAAGGCCTCATTTCTTAAATCAATAGAGAAGTGAACCAAATTTATAAGAATGTGAGTCATTCCTCAATTGATAAATAAAGGATATGAATGGGCAATTTTCAGAAGAAGAAATCAAAGCTATCTATAGTCACATGAAAAAATGCTTTAAAGCACTATCGATTAGAGAAATGCAAATCAAAACAACTCTGAGATACCACATCACACCTATCAAATTGGCTAACATAAAACAGGAAAATGATAAACACTGGAAAAGATGTGGGAAAATTGGAACACTAATGCATTGTTAGTGGAGTTGTGAACTGATACAACCATTATGGAGAGCAATTTGGAACTACGCCCAAAGGGCTATAAAATTGTGCATACCCTTTGACCCAGCAAGGCCTCTTCTAGTGCTGTACCCAAAGAGATCATAAAAATGGGAAATGGACCCACATGTACCAAAATATTCATAGCAGCTCTTTTTGAGGTGGCAAAGAATTGGAAATTGAGGGGATGCCCATCAATTGGGGAACGGCTGAGCAAGTTGTGGTATATGAATGTCATGGAATACTATTGGCTAGAAGAAATGATGAGCAGGCAGACTTCAAAAAAACCTGGAAAGACTTACATGAACTGATGCAGAGTGAAGTAAGCAGAACCAGGGGACCCATGTACACAGTAACAGCAATACTGTACAATTATCAACTGTGAATGACTTAGCTATTCTCAGCAATACAATGACCCAAGACAATTCTGAAGGACCTCCAGAGAAAGAATGAACTATGAGTGCAGACTGAAGCATAAAATTTTCACTTCCTTTATTTTTCTTGTATTTTTCAACATGCCTAATATGAAAATATATTTTGCATGATTTTACATCCTATAATTGATATCACATTTTTCCTTCAAAATGGGTAGGGGAGAGATGGGAGGGAAAGAATTCAGAACTAAATTTTTTAAAATGAATGCTAAAATAAATGATAAATTTGAAAACTAGCTTGATAACATAATTAGCTTTATATATCTTATTTTATGCATTTAAATTGAGAAGGAGTCAACAGGCTTCACTAGACTGCCAAAGGGGTCTATGCCACACAAAAGGTTAAAAAGTCCTATGATACAAGCAAAAGAAAGCCACTAGAGTTTACTGAGTAGGGGGTGTGACAAGGTCATATTTACCTTAAGATAAAGGACTACATAACAAAAATGTTGCCGAGACAGAAATAATAAGCTTTGGCACCTGATTTGATAAATGGGGTAAAGGAGAACACAGAGAACAGGTTAACAACAAGGTCGTAAGCCTGGGAGACTAGAAGAATGGTGGTGCCTTTGACAGAAATAGCTTAGTTTGGAAGAAAGACACATTTAAGGGAAAAGACGACGAGTTCTATTTTAGACATGTTGAGTTTAAGATTTCCCTAGGACATCCAGCCAGGAATATTCAATAGGCAATTGGTAATATGGAACTGAAGCTGGATATACAGAACTATGAATCTTCTACATAAGAGTTAACTGCATGGGAACTGAGACATTGATAAAGAGTATAGGGGAAAAAAAAGGGCCTTGGACAATATCCTCAGTTAGAAGGTGTGATACGAATAATGAATCAGCAAAGGAGACTGAGAAGGTAAAAAGTGAACCTGGAGAGAACAGTATTCCCAGTGGCTTCAATGTAGTAAGTATTCATTAATGTTTAATGATGACTAAAAGTGGTCTCATCTTTACCATTTCCTATAAAGCATGGATCAGAAGAAGGCTGAGTTTTTGTTGTTTTTTCTCTTTTTACCTTTGACAGTTTTAAAAACTTTTCACACTCCTAGTCCAGGTGCTAAATTTTTGTCCTTTATTTGCTTTTTAAAAAATATGCCTTTACTTTAAATAATGCAGTAGAAAGGGTGCTATATCTAGAATACTTGGGTTTTAATTCTGGCTCTGCCACTTGCTATGTAACATTGGACTTCTGTTTCTTTTTCAGTAAAATGAAGGGGTTAGACTAAACAACCACTAAGGTTCCTTCCAGACTTTAAATCTATCTATTTCCCTAGACTCATTCCAAAGCACAAGTCCTAATATGCAGGAAGCACTCAAATCATATACAAAAATAAGGCTGAATTTTGTTTTTTTAAAATCTATGGGAGAAATGTATCTCTCCAGCTCAACTTTTAAGCTAAACTTATATTCATATACAGTGTGGCCAGAATTAGCAACCACTGCTCCTCGATTTACTTACGGTTCCTTTCATCCTGTGTACTTCCTCATACATTCGAATGCATCCTTCTACCTCCATTCCCCGGGAGGGGCGAAGTATCACAAATTCTGCTGGATTGTATTCATCTTGACTCTGTTTAACAACAAAAAATCAAAATATTTTCAATAGTCTTTCTTCCCCTCCAAAAAGAAAGCCACCTTTAATGCACCCTATATGAGGGCATAAGTGATGCTAAAATATGTTAAAGTTAATACAGACTGCCCTTTACAACATTAATTTGAAAAGTGTCCCCTTAAATTTATTCAAATTATTCTGGAATGTGCATCTATTTTCAGTTTAGACCACCTCTTAGGGTGGCAAATTCCTTAAGTTCGTAACCATCACAGTAAATGACCTTATGTCTTCTGGAATAGGTGTCCTCAACTAACAAACCAGGACACCTGAGAGCTCTTCAAGCAAGTCGATAGTTAAGCCTTTATCTGTGGCCTGTTCCCATAACACTTTCCCCAACTCTAATCAGAGACTCTGCCAGAACTCAACCTTGTTTATGATCTCATTGTCTGCAATCCTCCTTTCTATCTCCAGTTATCTTTAGACTCTAATGAAATGAAAAGAAGCTTCTCTCCACCAAAAAAACAAAACACACAAGCTGGGCATCTGGGGGCCTCTTGTCCAGGACATCCAGTATTTATGGCAACAAAATTCATAATGAACCCTAGAACAGTTCACAAATCACTTCAGCTCAGATTGTACACATAAGATACCGTAGCAATCAGAATCCTTAGCAAATAATGTTTAATATAGTTAATGTAGTTGAAGCATGGGTAGAACAAGCAATGCCATACACAGCCTACGACCACTTCTCTTTTGTGAACTGATACATAAGCAATCCTGATTCCACATCTATAACAAAGCAATTAGATAACATAAAGGCTCTGCACACTTTTGCAAAACTCAGCCAAGACATTTTTGAAATGTATATTTTTGCAGCACTGAAATATCCACATATTGGCACCAGTAATTCTAAAGATTCCCAAGAATTTGGCCTAAAAATATTACTTTTAATTCATTATATGATCTTGAAATTTAAAAAATTTGGTTAGGTACTAACCCTTGTTTTTATATACCATCCACTCAATCAGTATTTTCTCCCAAATAAATTAAGAGATAATCCTCTTAACCACTATTGGGAAATGACGTTGGGGGTCACCAATCCTTTTGGCTAAAGCTAAACTGTTACCTGAGTTCCACTTGGAGCGGCACGGGAAACTGGTGAGGATACCTCTGCGTGTCTGGCAGGAGATTTAGGAATAGATAATACCTGGTCAGGAGCAGAGGAGAGTGTTGAATTCTCAGAGACAAGTTGATTCTGGCGAGAGTGAGGCAAGATGTGGTCTACCACCCATCCAGAGTAAGTAGATAACTCAGGAATTGACATACATTCTTCCAAAATCTCCTAGAGAGAAGAGAATCCAGTTATGCATTCATTTTCCACGTCAAAAGCTCAATGCCAAAGAGAAATAATTTTGTCCACGAAATCTTCCATTCATCTTATGAAAGATCAATTAAGTCTCCCCTTAGAGGCCAAAAATAGCAAAAAGCTTCACTGTAACTTCTCCCTCAACCCTATTCCAAATCAAAGATAAAGTAAAGGACTTTTTAAAAAAAGTCAAAATTTATTAAGAATATCTTTGAATACATTAAAATATAATTTCATCAGAAGAGAATGCATTATTTACTCTTTCAGGTTTCACTATTTAAGAACTAAGAGTGTAAAAATGAACTTTACTATTCCTTTTTAAAGTGCCAAACCACTATCCAATATTCAATTTGGCTGGGCACTCACTATTACTCAGCATTTTTTGTTACTGAAAATGTATGGAGAAGTCTGTAGCCTATTCTGAACTCTACCACTCCATCAAATCTCCAACCCTTAATTCTATTCCCAGGTATTTATTTCACTTTCAAGACATAACCATGTCTTCTACTTTACTAAGAAGGAAGCCCTGACTCACACTGGCTCAACTTTCCTGCCTCTTTACCTCAAAACTTCTCTGTTTTTACTACTGCTCACTCCTACCTCAGGAGAAGTAGTCCCTCTTTGTAAGGTCAACTACTCGCACCACACCCCTGCCCCTATCCTATATTACTTTCTCTAATCAACTGATTTTATATGTTGTTGGACAGTGAAGAACTTTGTAAAGATGTTTCTGGGATGGGGATAAGCAGATGCAGCCTGCACGACAGAATCAACTTCTGTGTGAGTTAGGTATATTCACCTGGCACACTATGAGTCGGACTTAGGGTAGCAATGGAGAACAGAAAAGGCGGACCTGTTATGAGTCTACTATCCTAATATAGATATAAAATAAGATATCTTAAACTAAAGTAGGAATGGAAAAGAAGGTATGTATGTGAAAAACGTTAAGAAGTAGAATCCATAAAACCTGTTGAAGGGTCAAAGATAATTCATTCTAAGGTTCTAGAGTGCTGGGAAACACATCTCTTGTTCCTCATCCCCATCTCCATTACCTGCTTCCTATTTTGGCTTTTCCACTTGAACTATCCTGCTCATCTATCAAAGTCCAGCTTAAATGCCACCTCATCCTTTGGAGACTTTTGACAAAATTTTTAAAAAATATTTTTTTAACTACCCACTAGATATATCACACCGAGCTAGGCGCTGGGGGTTCGGATACAACAAAGGCACTGCTCCAAGGGCCTTACAATACAGTGGAAGAAAGGATAAATAAAACAACCAAATACGGAGAAAGGGAGAGTGAAGAAAGTACAAAGAGGAAAAGTGGCACATGAAACTTTGAGAAGGAAAAGATCTCCTTTAGCGGGAGAAGGGGACAGGTAGTCAGAAAATGCTTTCTCTAGGAGAGCATCTGAATTGGGACTTGAAGAAAAAGGGAGGGGCCTCAGATGAAGACGGGGGAAGGGGCGTTTCCGTTTCCAGGAGTGAGGCAAGGGTGGGAGTAGGTAAAAGGGGGGGGGATGAGGCCAGAAAAGGCAGTAGCCTACTATGGAAAGGGTTAGGAATGACGCCCACGCTCGCCCCCGTTCTCCCGCAGGGTCCCGGTTCTCTCTGGGAGGGAGGGGGGCGCGGAGCGTGGCTTCGCGGGGACGTCACAGGGGGGGAGCGCGGAGGTCGGCGCCTCGCTCACCTCGCCCTTCAGCAGCCAGTCGCGATGGTAGGACAAGCGCCCTTTGTCGGAACTCCTCAGAGCCTGCAGGGTCTCCCAACATCGGCCCTCTGACGGCATCTCCGCGGCCGCAGGCCCCACGCCCACCCCGAACAGCAGGTCACAGAACCACTTGTGACAAGTCAGGCTCTCGAATCCGCCGCCGTCGCCGGCCCCACCGCCTCCGGCTTCCGCTTCCGCTGCCGGCTCCCGATCCCCGGAACCCCCTTCGACCCAACAGCCAGCTCGGCCCCGCCCACGGAAGGACTCGGGCCCAAGCCTCACCCTTCGGTGGCTGGCAGAACACGCCCCACAGGCCGCGCATGCTAAAAGGGGCGGGGCAGATTTAAAGGGCTTGCTACATCCACTTGGACAGAGTTCACGTATGTGTCACTTGCCACTCATACAAATGATAGAGCTGAAGGCGCTTATCAATGTCCTTAAATTAATAATATTTTAGAATTTTTATTAAGACTTATTTGCACGTGCCCTGGTTACTTTCAGGTCCTGATCTCCAGTCTGTCTTGAAATGTCATAATATGGTACTGCTTTAAAGGAACTTTCTTTATCCAAAAACTTCCTTTTAACAATTCAGTATCCTTTTAAAATGTCATCTGATTAACTCTCACAGAAGCATAAAGCAAGGACAGGAGAAAGAGTCTACTTCTATTACTCATAGGGACACCATTGGGGGAGGCCTTGATTAGAACACAGGAATTAATTAATTAATATGCCCACTGTATTTTAAAGGTTATAATGGAGCTGCCTTAAGAGAACTCTGCTTCTACTAAACCACTTTTATATCTTGGTTCTTCAATTCCTCTATAGAACTAAACTGTGTTGCTCATAGACAACTAGAGAAAGACCTCAAGAGAAAACAGAGGAAAAAATCAAACGACCAAATTTCAATTTAAAGAAAAGCCTACCACCCCAGAAGCAAAATAACTTTAAAATTTTTAATAGTTTGCTGCCCAGAGCACCTTATGATAATTTGTTTTGTTTAGGGGAGGGGGAGAGATCATCCACTGGAGCCCAGTAAAAATTATAAAAATTTTGTAAAACACAAATACAAAAACAATGCTTCACAGATACAAACCAGTTAAGTAAACAGCAAAAATAATGAGGATCAAAGTGTCAGGAAACTAAAACAAAATTCTTACATCGTCTTATCCTGAAGTGCTTTGTGGGGGAGTGGGGGAGACAAAGAAGTGGGGCTTTAGATTTCCTCTGATATATGAGAGATTCAGCAGAATAGGTAAGTATCCAAAGGAATTTTTTTTAAGGCCTTGAAGGAAAGTTTGTCAACAGGCATTGCACTTAAGTTAGAAGTTACTTTTAAAAAGTGAGAAATGCTCACGCTTGGGGGAGGGGAGTCAGGCTAAGAGAATGGAAGCCTATAACTAACAGCTTCTTTTTTCCCTAAGAGAGAAAAAAGAGAAAACCACATCAAACAATTTCTATAAAGGCTAAGAGGAATTTGGGGGTAGGGTGCCCTCAGAAGAACTGAGAAAAAATATCTCCGTAAGAAGGACCTGGGAGAAGAAGCAATGAGTTAGAATCTGGAAGAAAGATGTATATCCAAGAGATATACAAAGTTTTGCTGTTATAAAATCTAAATTGTTATCAGGTTAATTAAAAAACTCCAATCCGGTAACTGAGGAAAAAATGGAGAGCTATAAAAATGTCCATGTCCACTCAGTCTTAAAGATGATTTGGCGTAGACTTTCCCAAAGCAAGAGGCCTGGACAAGATGTCTGCACCTCTCTCACCAAATGGAAAAGAGGGACAGCCCAAAGGGTCTCCAGATACACCTCTTCCCTACAGTCAGGCTCCTTGGAAGGAGGACTACAGCTTCATATGGGAGGTGATCGAGAACGGATGGGAGAGCTTGTTAGATATGCAGTTAAAGCATTGTCTCCAAATACATTGGCATAGGATGATTTGAGGAACTGGACATAATTCTGCATGCTGCGGTTGGTACTCTCTGATTGTTCAAGACGGTCTTTGAGGTCCTGGAGGCGGCTCTGGTATCTGCGGTCAGCCTAAGGAGAAAAACAGAGGGATCTTAGGGCCTAAGGCAGCATGAAATAAGCTGTTAACAATTCCCAGCACAGAGCAGCTGCATGTAACTCTTTGCAACTGGAATTTTTCACTAAGTTCATTCTAGGTTAGGCATAAACATGCACAGAAATCAAATGGCAGGTGCAATGCCATTGCAGTATCAAGAGTTTTTTAAAAAGTAGGTTTACAAGGTTGATCCCTGAGCTGTTATGCATAGAAGTAATTTTATGGTAATACTATAAGTGAATCACACATACGTGTGTGTGTGTACGTGCGTGTGTGTGTGTGTGTGTGTGTGTGTGCACGTGTACATGTTGTATGTATATTATAGCCTCTGTTAAAAGTGGCTATTCTAGACACATGGCTTTCAGACCAAGTTTACACAGCTTGAGCTTATAATGCAAAAAGAATACTACAAAAGTTCATTATCTCCAATTTGTTGGAATTTTATAGAGGATTTTCCCAGTCAAGAAATTATATCCCTCTGATATGTGGGTTATAGGAAGATAGAACCTTGGAGAAGATAAAAAACCCATAAATTCACCCTAAGGAATCTATAATTCACTTGTCCAAGATTGAGAAACTTGTTCTATGCTATAAGAAATATTTAATCTATTGGGATTGTATAAAGAGTAGCCATCAATGATTCACACATACTTATAATAATGACTTTTCCTATCAATTTTTTTTTGGGAACCTGAAAATTTTTCATCTCAGGAAAACCTTACCTGCCAGGACATCATTATCTAATACCTTCAGTCCTTTGGTATTGAGGATGGTTGAGGAATTCTAGTCACCACCCAGCACCACACTCAGACTCTGCTTTTTGCTTTGCTTATTCTCCTCAGCCCCAGCTCAACTCACGTCATCTCGGCTCCGTCGTAACTGATTGAGCTCCGTTTTGGTCCGACTCAGCTGTGTTTCCAGATCCAAGATTTTGTTCTGGGCTGTTCGTTCCTTGGAGACTGCACGTTCCCTTGTTTGTTCCACCTGGAGAAAAGTCCCAAAGCTGTGTGTTGCTTTCCCAAAACTTAGCAAGCACCACCATCACAAAATAGACTGTGGGATGTCCTTCTCCCTTGATGGATTCTACTGATACCTTACCTTATACTTGAGGGTTCCACTTTCCCAGATGTATAGTGCTACCAACTAGGGAGAGGGGGCAAGGAAAGGTAATAGAGGGAAGGCAAACCTCTGCCAAGCCTCTTCTGCCCCATGTCACAGTGACAAAAGGGCTATGGGAGAGCCAGGCCAGGACTAGGGTGGCACCACTGACCTGTCTCTTGGCATCTTCAATGGCATTTTCCAGCTGTCGTGCTAGAGAACCACATTCCCGGGTTTTCTCTTCCAACCGAAGCTGGGATTGATGGATTGCCTCCTCTCTCTTTGCAATCACCTGGAGGAACTCAATGTTCTGGGCACTAGTGCCCTCAAGTTTCCTGTATAAAAGCACTAAGTTAAGTTTCCTCCATCCTCTTCTCCCACCACTCATCTCCATCGGGCACTGTGAGAACTGTTTACCACCCTAGAGTGGCAGTCAAATATAAATAATCTCATCATGCTACCACAGAATCAGTGTCCCAAAGGAAATGGCATATGAAATGAACCAAATTAAATGAAAGACCAAAGGGGAGGAGGGATGGATTGAGGCAAAGTAAGGAAACACACCATAAAATCATAATGGCATCAGAGATGCCAAAAACCCTAACAGAACTTTACCACCAGAATAAATGTGATGGGTGTTTCCTGCTTTTTCTGCTATCAATAGTGACGTGGGGGCTCTGCTCCCTCTGTTCAATCTGATAATCACAGTGAAAGCTACCTTCTACTGGCAGGGGTCATGGGTTCAGGGAGCTTAAAAAGGGCCATCCCACAAGGGAGACTCAAGGTCATCGGTTAGGTAAATCATGGGATGGGAAGACAGAAGTGAGAGAACAGAATGAGGAGAAAATACCCACCACCAACATGTACCAATTGTCCCATTTAAAGCAGGCCCCCTGCCTAAATGAAATATGCCTTTCTCCAGGGACTGGGTTAAGCTCTCAATCTACTGGAAGTGGCTGTGTCTTGGTTCTTGGGTGTTCCAAGGCTGAGAGGTCTGCAGAGAAGTTGTATTTTGACTGTATGGATGGTTGCAGGTGAAATGGAAGCAACTTTTCCTAAAGAGTTTCTGTTTGCTCTTCCCTCTGATGTTAGCCCATCACATAATTCCAGGGCCTTGGGTCAGTCACCCAAACGCTTCAGTGGATAAGCATAAAGTGGAAATTGAAGAGTTCAGGTCCTAGAAAAAGGATGAGGACAGAAACAGGACACTGTGACTCTAACCTCTCGAGTTCTTCCACTTTCAGGCTTAGCTGTTTATTTTCCTCCTGAGAATATTGATGTCTCTCTCTTACCACCTCCAGCTTTTCACCCTGATGTTCGATCTAAAATGAAAGGAAAAGAGACCATTTTACATGGGAGGTGATACATTGTCCTCTCCTCCCTTCTCCCAGGAAGCTGGCATCCACATGGATGGTTCATCTGTAGATGGTATTCCTTGGTGAGGTTGACCCTCACCTTCAACATCCATTACAAAGTCATACCTTCCCTGCCCATGCAGGACTTGAAGAAGTTTAGATCTAATAAGAATGAAGACTTCCCCACCATCTTCCCAAAAGAAGAAACATGTGCTCCTAGGAAAATATAATGATACTTTCTTGACCAGGAGAAGCCAAGGCTTCTCTGAAAGCCAAAAAGCCAAAATAAATCCCTGAAGTTAAAGGTATAACCAGGTTGTCATGACACACATGGGATATTAATATTCATAAGCTCAAATTAGCCTACAGATAACAATGTTTGGAATTTTTACCTTGAATACAAAAGGTGGAAGTGATCTTATAGATCACCTAATCCAAACCCCTCATTTTCAACATAAGGAAATGTAAGTTTAGAGAGGTTAAGGAACCTGCCCAAGATCACAAACAATGTTTGTCCCAAAGTAACAAAAATAAGTTATCAGCATGCAGGATTGGACATCAGGAATGACTGCATCAGAAGAGAATGTCAGATACTAGAACTGCAAACAAAAGAATGAAAGGGAGAGCAGTTGGAGTATGAAGAGAAGCCAGACAAGCATTCAGTGCCACAATGTCTGATGGCCAGGCCCTCTGGATTGCTTGATTTGAGGACAATGAAAGGATTCGAAGTGCAAGAGGTAGGCTAAATCTCAGACCAATGGAAAGGCTGTGGAAGAAGAGAATATCCAGCCATCAGAACTGATAGAAGAAGCTCAAAAGTGACGCCTCCTATCACTAGAATCACTATTTGCAAACACAAGAACATTTGGCACACCAGACTTTTATTTCACAGTGTTGATGAGAATTAATTCGTTTCGAAAAGTGGCAGCCAAAGAAAAGGAAGTGATCTTCCTTTGGGGGCGTGCATCTCATCTTGGTATCCGGCTGGCTGTTCGGGTCAGGTCGTGAGACCCTTTCTGCCAGTCCCTTACCCGGGTGCGCAGATCTGCTATGATAGCTGTAAGGTCCACATTTTTCCTCTCATAGCCTTGTAGCTGATCCTGACATTCGGCCAGCTTAGCCTCAGTAATTTTGAGGATCTCAGGCAGTTGTTGAAGGTCAGTCAGCTGAGCCTGGAACTGCTTACGAGCCTTAAAGAGGGAAAGAAAGGTATCTTTTGGTAAAGATTAGCACCACATTTTTTAACCTCTTGAAGTACTCTGATAGCAAGGTTAAACTAAATATCCATCAAGCTTGCCATGTAAATCTCTGGATAAATAAGAGGGATTCTAGAAATTGGAAAGCCACTATCATTCCATTTTGCATCCTCCCCTAGAAAACTTCAAAATGTGCAAGTTACCCCAGAGTAAATCCCTGTAAAATACCCAACTGTCCTCTAGGGTAGTTCTGACTTATCCACCTATCTTAATAGTTATGGAGAATTCCATTCTGGACCCATCCCATTTTCTAGTCATGAGGCACTATGTGGATCTCTGGATGTCCAACAGAGTATAAAATATTTCTCCATAATAACAGACCAGCCTCAAACCCCAGATTTGTGAAGGCGCCTTTGTCTGCCATCACACGAATTAGGTAAATCTAGGTTTGTTTTTTTCCGTATTCAGGCAATGTGGTGGCAAAGTGGATAGAGGGCCAGGCCTGGAGTCAGAAAGACTTGAGTTTAAATCTCGCCTCAGATACTTATTAGCTGCTGTCTGCCCCTGGGAAAGTCACTTAACCCTGTTTGCCTCAGTTTCTTCATCTGTAAAATGACCTGGAGAAATAAATGGCAAGCCACTCCAGTATCTTTGCCAAGAAAACCCTAAATAAGGGTGACAAAGAGTGGGATGTGACTGAAATGACTGAACAACTTTCTGTGTGTTGCTGCAGGTTTGGGGGGGGGTGCAGAAGAGGGTGATGGTAACAACTAGGACCATAACACCACCTCGTCAAGCAGGTATCTGGGAGTTCTATCATCATTTGTTTCCTTAAGATTACTGTGTCTTTGAATGTTTTTAGCTTCAATTTTTTTTAAGCGAAAGAGGGGAGAGAAAGAAGGGCAGAGGTAGAAGGCAAAGAAAAGGAAAGGAGAAGGGAAGAAGAAAGGTGCTGTCTTTTCAGCAGACCACTTTTTCTTTCCTAGCTCAAAATATAGGAGGTGGCCCAGTTACCTGCCTGATATTCAGAAAGGGGATAGGGGAAGTTAGTGTAGACATGAACAATTACCGATTCAATTTCTTTGTTCATTTCATCTTTGAGGATCTTATTCTCTTTGTCGCAGCGTTCTAATTGAGTGGCTACCTCATCAGCTTCCATCCGGGTCTTCATCACCTAGGGACAGAGAAGGCAATTAGAGTTTCTGATAGGAGACTGGATTTGGTGAGAGACAACAGCTTCTCACTACTCAGTTGTTGAAGGTAAGGAGTTTCGGAGTGGAAAACTTAAAGCAGATAAGAAATGAGGCAGGAATGAAGTAGGGTGGGGATGACAGAAGCTCAAATTAGAAAAGTACCTGACTCTTGTAATTGTCGATCATCCCTTCATAGTTCTTGACTGACACCTTCAGCTGTTGGACCTCAATTTGGGCTTGACTGAGCCTGTCTTCCACAGGGGTGATACTAGCCTGTACAGGGATATGAGCAATATGGAGAGCTTGGCTTTGACCAAACCATTATGGCATTAACTTTGGACGAATGCAATAAGATGTGGTGAAAGGTATCTCTCTGTTGAACAAGGGAAAAACATACTTCCTCAGAAAAGCAACAAGGACAGAAATATCAGTCTTCAAACTTTACCAGCCTTGTTTCCTCCCCCCTTAAAAAAATTAGCCTACCTAGTTTCCTTCCTTTGGAAATTAAAGGAAATAAGAGTTGGTGCTTTTGAAAAGTAAACCATCTCAAATTAGTTTAAAATTAAAAAAAAAAAGTAAAGCATCTCTAAAAGGCAGACCTCATTCAGACTCATATGTGTGTTGCTAAGAGATAACTATCCCCACCACCTCCCAGTTTATAAATGGGGAAAATAAAGCTCTGAAAATTGAAATGACCTGCCCGTAATCCCTGTGGAATAGAATGCAAGGTTCCAGATTCCTGGCCTGTTCTTTTCCTTCTGGTCAGGATAAAACTCTATAGTTTGTCCCAGCCCCAGAGAATACCCCCCTTTAGCCTGTGCATAGTGGGGGCCGGGGTAGAGGGTGGGAGAAGAATCTTGTTGAGTAATTAATCTGTCTCTTGGGATGGTGTTCAGGAACATGTTATCAAGAAGTCAATAAAAGACCTCTAGGTCTTGAAATTGGGACATAGAATTAAAGTCCCATTCTTCCACTTCAATCTCATTTCATACCCCTCAAAACATATACAAAGCCCTTGAGCAGGGATACCTAACTTCAATCTGGTTGCCAAAGGGAATGGAATTGCATACCCAAAGTTGCCTCGATAAGCTACAATATCTCTTTTCCCACCCACTGGCCACATAAGGCAGCATAAAACAATAGTTTTATGGTTCAAGAATGCTTGGCTGACCTTTAGCCTCTCATTCTCAAGTTTGAATGCAGAATATTCTGCTGTCTGTCGGTGTAATCTTTCCACCAGATTATCCCGGTCTTCTCGCATCTTCTCCTCCAAGGCATGCTGCTGTGATACCAGATCTGTCACTCGGCTGGTGTAAAAGAAAAATTAGGAAGAGAAAACAGCAAACATCAGATTTCAAAGAACCCAAATATTTTGGAATGAAGTAGCTCCTTATGATCCAGAAGCCCTGGCACTGAGCATACTACGATGTGAAATTCAAAACTAGTCCTATCCTGACTCCAAGTCCAGTACTCTTTCTACTACACTGCACTGACTCAACAATCATTAAAAGTACTGTTCAAAATTAAATGAATGAATATTTTAAAAATATGAACTTCTCACATTAACAGAACAGAAAATAAAATATTTAAATTCTTCTCTTTTAGTAAAAGAAACTGAACAAGCCATAAATGAATTCCCTAAGGAAAAGAAAAAAAAAACTCCATGACTAGATGGGTTTACAGATAAATTCTATTAAATATTTAAAGAACAACTAACTCCAATATTACATAAACTGTATGAAAAAATAGGTAAAGAAGTCCTACCCAAATTCCTTCTCTGACACAAATATAGTCTTGACACCTAAACTAGGGAGAATCAAAACAGTAAAAGAAAACTAAAGACTAATATTCCCCTAATGAATATTGATGCAAAAATTTTAAATAAAACACTAGGTAAGGAGATTACAGCAATATATCACAAAAGATAATATACTATGACCAGGTGGGATTTATATCAAGAAAGCAGGACTGGTTCAACATTAGGAAAACTTTAAGCACAATTGTCCACATCAACAACAAAAACAACAAAAATTATGTGATTATTCAGTAGATGCAGAAAAAACTTTTGACAAAATATACCTGTTCCAGTTTAAAACATTAAAAAGCAGAGGAATAAATGAAGCTTTCCTTAAAATGACAAGTACTATCTATCTAAAACCAAGAGCAAGCATTATCTGTAATGAGTACGAGCAGGAAGCTTTTCCAATAAAAGCAGGTGAAATAAGAATGTCCACTACTATTCAATATTGTACTAGAAATTCTAGCTATAGCAAAAGAAATCAAAGGAATAAACACAGGTGATGAGAAAACAAAACTATCACTTTTTGCAGATGATATGATGGTTTACTTAGAAAATCCTGGTGATTGAAACACTAACTTCAGCAATGTTACAGGATATAAAATAAATCCACACAAATTATTAGCATTTCTGTATATAACCAACAAAACCCACAGGAAAAGATAGAGAAATTCTATTTAAAATAATTATGGACAGTATAAAATGCTTGAGAGTCCATCTTGTCGAGACATACACAGGAACTATAAGAACACAAAAACAAAATACCAAATAAAGAGAGCTCTAAATAACTGGAGAAATATTAATTGTTCAAGGGTAGGCTTGGTCAATATAACAAAAATGACATTATTACCTAAATTTACTTATTCAGTGTCATACCAATTAAATTACCGAAGAATTACTTTATAGAGCTAGAAAAAAATTGTAAAATTCATCTGCAGAAACAAAAGGTCAAGAATATCAAGGGAATCACTGGGGAAACACCCCCCCCCCAACAACAACCAGGAAGTAATGGCGACTAACAGTGCCATACCTCAAACTACTGATTGATTAAATTGATTAAAATATTACAAAGTTGTAATTATTTGCTACTGGGTAAAAAAGAGAGAGGTTGATCAGTTGGAACAGATTAACACAATAAACATAAGAAAATAAACTCAGTAACCTAGAGTTTGATAAACTCAAAGATACCAGCTACTGAATCAAAAATCCACTTTTTGACAAAAACAGCTGGGAAAACTAGAAAGTAGGCAGAAACTAGGCATAGACTAGCATGTCATACTATATAAAAGGGTACATGAGGGGCAGCTAGGTGGCTAGGTGGATAGAGTACCAGCCCTGGAGTTAAGAGGACCTGAGTTTAAATCTGGCCTTAGACACATAACCCTTACTAGCTGTGTGACTCTGGGCAAGTCACTTAATCCCAACTGCCTCACTAAAAAAAAAAAAAAGGTACATGATTTAGACATAAAGGGTGATATCATAAGCAAATTAGTCGCACGTGGAAGATACTACCTGTCAGATCTATGGATAAGTGAAAGGTTCATAACTGAACAAGAGATAGAGGTTTGCAGGAGCTAAAATAGATAATTTTGATTATATAAAATTAAAAAGTTTTTACACAAACAAAATCAATGCAGCTAAAATTAGAAGAAAAGCAGGTAAGTGGAAAAATGCTTGCAGCAAGTTTCTCTGATAAAAGTCTCATTTTTTAAAATATATAGGCAACTGAGTCAAATTTACAAGAATAACAATCATTCCCCAACTGATAAATGGTCAAAGGAAGCAGTTTTCAGAGGAAGAAATCCAAGTTGTGAATAGCCACATGAAAAAGTACTCTAAATAATAATTAGAGAAATGCACATTAAAACAACTCTGATATACCCACCTCATGCCCATCACACTGGCTAATATGACAGAAAGGAAAACTCTTGGTGTTTTGCACCAAAAATGCACTGTTGCTGGAGCTGTGAACTAGTTTAACTATTCTTGAAAAGCAATTTGGAAAGAATACAAGTCATTTCCCAATTGATAAATGGTCAAAGGATATAACAGGAAGTTTTCATACAAAGAAATTAAAGCTATCTATAGTCATATGAGAAAAAATGCTTTAAATCACTATTGATTAGAGAAATGCAAATTAAAGCAACTCTGAGGTACCACTTCACGCCTATCAGATTGATTAATATGACAAAAAAGGAAAATGATAAATGTTGGCTTATGATATGGGAAAATTGGAACACTAATGCATTGTTCGTGGAATTGGTGAACTGATCCAATCATTCTGGAGAGCAATTTGGAACTATACCCAAAAGGCTATAAAACTGTGCATACCCTTTGATCCAGCAATACCACTACCAGGTCTGTATCTCAAAGAGATCATAAAAAAGAAAAAAGGAGCCATATGTATAAAAATATTTATAGTAGCTCTTTTTGTGGTGGCAAAGAATTGGAAACTGAGGGGGATGCCCATCAGTTGGGGAAAGGCTGAACAAGTTGTTATATGAATGTAATGGAATACTATTGTGCTATAAGAAATGATGTGCAGGCGGATTTCAGAAAAACCTGGAAAGACTTCTGATGCTGAATGAAGTGAGCAGAACCAGGAGAACATTGTACACAGTAATAGCAACATTATGCGATGACCAACTTTGATGGACTGTGTTCTTCTCAGCAATACAGTAATCTAAGACAATTCTAAAAGACTCATAATGGAAAATGCTATCCACATCCAGAAAAAAGAACTATGGAGTCTAAATGCAGATCGAAGCATACTATTTTCTTTTTTTGTTTGTTTTTGTTTTTTCTTTCTCTTTTCTTTTAGTATCTTTTATTCTGATTCTTCTTTCACAACATGTGAAAATATGTTTAATATGATTGTACATGTATATCTTATAATTGCTTGCCATCTTGAGGAGAGGGGATGGAGGGAGGGAGAAAAAAATTTGGAACTCAAAATCTTATAAAAGTGAATGTTGGGGGCAGCTAGATGGTGCAGTAGATAGAGCACCAGCCCTGGTTTCAGGAAGACCTGAGTTCAAATTTGACCTCAGACACCTGACACTTACTAACTGGGCAAGTCACTTCATCCCACTGCCTCATCCAAAAAAGAAAAGTAAATGTTGAAAACTATCTTTACATGTAATTGGAAAAAATAAAAATACTATTAAGTGGGAGAAAAAAAGCAATTTGGAACTATGCTCAAAAAAACTATTAAACTATACATAATGTTTGACCCAGTAATACCACGACTAGGTCCCTATCCCAAAGATATCAAAGAGAGAGGAAAAGGGGACACACACACACACACACACACACACACACACACACACACACACACACAAATATTTATAGCAGAGTTTTTTGTGTTTGGTTTTTTATGGCAGCAAAAGAACTGGAACCAAGGGGATGACAATCAGTTGGAATATGGCTGAAAAAGTCTGTGAATGCAATGGAATATTATTGTGCTGTAAGAAATAATGAAGGAGATGGTTTCAGAAAAACCTAGGAAGAATTGTTTGAACTGATATAGAGTGAAGTGAGCAGAATTAGGAGAATTTACAAAGGAACAGTATTATCATATAGATAATCAACTCTGAAACACCTGTAACTCTGGTCAACCAAAGGACCAAACATATCCCCAGGGATTCAGGATGAAACATGCTATTCATCTCCAGATAAAGAACTAATGGACTATGAGTGTAGACAGAAGCATATTTTCTTCAATTTCATTCTTTTTTCTCTCTTTTTGGGAGAGGAGGAAATGGCCATGGTTAAATCAGAAATTTGTTTTACATGTCTATACATATAAATTCATAAGGGTTTTTATTTTCTTGCCTTCTCAATGGTTAGGGAAAGAGAAGAGGAAGGAAAAGAATTTGGAACTCAAAATAGAATTTTTAAAAAAAGAACAACAATAAAACATTAAAGAAAATAAAGTACAGCTCAATTCCCTAAATGCAGTCTAGCCCATTCTCCTCTTCCTATTTCAATGTGGGCCCAGCTTGCTGACCTTCTATAGCTGCCCAATACATAAATCCTGGTGGCTAACTCAATGGATTATCATCCAACTGCATTTCCATCTCTGGACAATATGTTTTTCCTCAGTCTTTTAAATAATTACAGAGCTCAACTGAGAAGACCCCATAGTGTCCCAGTGTTTAATGTAATTGCTACAATATTATCAAAAACCAGTTATTTATGGAATTTCTTTGTCAAAAGGGAATACCATTATTTGAACTTTGTATAGGATATCCTCCCTGAAACTGGCAAATAGCTGTAAGTGAGCATGTCTCGTTTGATGCCTTGCTGAATATGTTGATACTCAGTAAAATCAGTGAACTAGGTTATCTCTGTGATCACATCTGTCCTTAAGTGTTACAGTTTTGCTATACATGTGAGAAATCTCATGTGAGAGGTGCCTCTACAGACTTTCTGTGACCAAAACATTTCATATTCCTTCATTTTAATAAAAATAAAATAAGCAGTGAAATAGTAATATTCTCTATACCTTCCAGTCAATTTTGTGTGAAGACAATCAGCTCTAGAAAACAGTCTGCAAAATGGTCTATCCATTGCCTTCTTGCACTTTAATGAAGGACTCCCTCAGTGCATGAGTGCATGCATATCACTCTCATCGAGATTATAGAAAAGAAAAAGTGTGCATTTGGATTGGCAGGTGTAGATGTCTTCTCACCATTTTTGGAAATCATGTGATCCATTTTTTCCATTATTTTGCAATCTTCCTTTCTTTGTGACATTTTGAAAACTGATCCTTGAATACTTAAAAAAACTATATAATACCACCTGGGTGGCACAATGGATAGAGCACCAGGCCTGGAGTCAGGAAGACCTGAGTTCAAATCCAGCCTCAGATACTTACTAGTTATGTGACCCATGGCAAGTCACTTAACCCTGTTTGCCTCAGTTTCCTCATCTGTAAAATGAGCTGGAAAAGGAAATGGCAAACAACTCCAGTATCTTTGCCAAGAAAACCCCAGAAGGGGTTATGAAGAGTTGAACACAACTGAAATGATTGAACAATAGCACAGAGTGCATTTCTGTATGTATTTGGTCAGTTCTCAGAGTCACTCCCCCAGATGTTATCTTAAATGTCATTGCCATATTTCATTATACAGGTGTCCCAACAGTCATACTGCAGTTTTAAGCCTAACAGCTAATGTGATATGGAGGCTAAATGTGATAATTCTACTATGCTGATGAGAATAATATGCTAAAGAAATTCTCAGACATTTGTTCATTTCATATCTATTTGCTATCACACTACTACTAAGTGTCATTTACAAATGTTCTCTGATCCTTAAGCTTAGTTCTTTTGTTTGTTTGTTTTAGGCAATTGGAGTTAAGTGACTTGCCCAGGGTCACACAGCTAGTAAGTGTCAAGTATTTGGTCTGAGGCTGGCTTTGAACTCAGGTCCTCCTGACTTCAGGGCCAGTGCTCTATCCACTGCACCACCTAGCAGCCGCCCCCCCTTCAGCTTAGTTCTGACTCACTCCCAGATCTCTGCAAGTTCATTTCCCTCTATTCTATGATGTAGTACTGATCAGGCTCATAAACTAGAGTGTGTCCAAAAGAGGGCAATCAGGATAGTCGGAGGGCCCTGGAGCCCTTGTAAATGAAGTTCAGTTGAAGGAACTGGGCATGTTTAGTCTAGAGTGTAACAACAACCCTCTTCAAGTACCTGAAGGGCTGTCACGTGGGAGAAGACTAGATTTGTTCTGTTTGGCTGTAGAGGGCAGAACCAGAACAGTAGGGAGGTTGTACAGAGGCAAATTTACATTAGATGTTAGGGAAAATTTTTCTTGCAATTAGAGCTATCCAAAACTTGAGCTTCCTCAACAAGTGATGGATTGGTTACCTCTCACTGGAAGTCTTAAAGTAGAGACTAAAACGACTCACTTGTAAGGAATGTTATGATGGGGATCTTTTTCCATTACAGGCTGAACTAGATTGGCTGCTGAAGACCTTTCCAGATCTCAAAATCTGTGATTCATATCTTCCAACTCTTTTATTCAACATCTCTCTGACAAGAATCTGCGAGCTATTCTTTCATTTAAGCCACCCTTCCAAAATGGTAGCAAATTTCTCTGTTTTCTAGTTTCATTTATGGTGATGTCAGTATGGTTGTGATTCAGTTCCTGTATGCTTACCTTTTGTCCAACTGTCATACAGCCCATTCAGAGTAGCAAGAATTAATGTTTGGAGAAGGTCTAAAAATACATTTTTAGCATCCTTTGCCTCCTTATCTAGTACTCCATCAAAATAATTGCAGAGGTGACATGGGGCCAGGCAGCATGGAGGGTTATTTTACATTTTATATTGCATGGATTGTCGTGGCTTCCCAAATTGGTCACATAGTAGCCAACATTTTGGTGATAAGTCTCTTCACTTAGCTCCTTGGACAGCAGACACAGTCACTGCTGGGCCAATACTGAAAGCTTTTCCAGCTTAGCTTAGTATTAGTAAGAGTCTAGCTAGAGTTTAAACTTCACTTGCATAGCCTTTGAGAATATCCTGTGTCATGAGGACACATACAATGCAGTTAATATATATGTGGTTATTATCACATATAGGCTATTTAATCTTCCTGGCCCTATACAAAGAACATACCTTCATTTCTTCAAGTCTTCCCTCTTTTTCTGCCACCAAAGTCATCATTCTCTTTGGACGGGTAGGTCATTTATACTCCTCAGTAGATTAACACCCAAATACTTAATGTTTTTGTAACCATTGTACACAGGACCTATATTTTCAATTTCTCTTCTGGCTATTATTGCGTCGATGGTGGCAGTACAAATTGGCACAATCTTTCTGGGAAGCAATGTGGCAAAATGTCACAAGAGCCATGAAACTGGTCATACCCTTCAACCTTGTTATTCTGCTACTAAGACTGTATTCACTAAATACATATTTTAAAAGAAAAACATTTGTAAGAAGTTGTTAATAGTTATCAGCCAAGAACAAAGACTCTCTAGGACCTCAGCCTCACCCCATCTAAGGGGAAATAATCTACTCAACATCAGAACCCCCTTGGGACAGACCTGATTTGGCCAGTAATTAGAAGGTGAATAAATCTAAACCACAGCCTCCCCGTTCCCTACCTTTATAACCAGCCATGCCTTAGGACTTCAATCATTAGGCAGACCATCATGTGTCTGGTTTTTTTTGGTTGTTGTTGTTTTTGTTTTTTAGTGAGGCAATCGAGGTCAAGTAACTTGCCCAGGGTCACACAGCTAGTAAGTGTCAAGTGTCTGAGGCCGCATTTGAACTCAGGTCCTCCTGACTCCAAAGCCAGAGCTCTATCCACTGTGCCACCTAGCTGCCCCACCACCATGTGTTTGCATCTGCCTTGCCACAGCTAATTCACCCACTACTACCTCACTCCCTTTCCCTGAGACTCTTCAGCTTTTGCTCAGGGAATAATCAAATCAGTAGGTCCAGAACTACTGTGAAGTGTGTGACAACAAGCTATTCTACGGTTACACTCAAAATCCCTGGCATTCAAAGTTACAAGTTCTCTTACCTGGGGTGCCACTCTCTGTTCCTTCCTCTCACATCAGTGCCATGCTTTCCACATTCCTCCTCCCACTCCATACTCCCTCTCTCCAATTCCACTGTGCCCTGTGGAACCTCCATTTTACTGGTAATAAACAGGCCTTTATGCAACATTTGTTCCTCTCCTGCTTCTCCTCCATGCAATCATGGAAACCTGACTGCACCAGGAGGCCATTTTCCCTACAAATGCAACCTTCTCTACTTTTGCCCTTGATCTGAATCATACCCTTCCAATTCCCATGTTTTTCCCTTTAATCATTTCATCTTCTCTCTCACCCTAATTTTCAAGCCTTCCTTATCCACTGGTTCCACATCTATTATTTATACACTTATGTAGATCTCCCCCAGCCTCAGAAAACCTTCACTTGGCTCTATTAGCCAGTAACCCCTCATGGTAAAATCCTAAATCTTCTCCTTTTCACAGCCAGTGTTCTGGAAAAAAAGCCACTTACATTAGGCCATATGACTAAACTAGCCTACATACCCTCAGTTACTGCAGATGCCAGCAAAACCAGGTTCATCTTTCCACGTCCCTCTGCCTCAACATTTTGCCCCAAAAGCCAAAGAACTGATTTGCGATAGGCACAATCTCGTGCTAATGCCCATCCGGAACTAGAAACCTGAAACTCTGCATGAACAGGACCTAGATGGTGTCACATACTCCCATCTCAGGTAAAGGCCCATTAAAGAACGTTTTGATCGAGTGGCAGCTGCAGAGGAACCACGAAGCAGTGACTTCCCTTCTACTGGGCACCGTGTGTTTCATCTTGCTATTTTACTAGCCAGGCCCAAGTAGGCTGTCTATTGTTCCTATTGCCATCTACTTGGCTAGATAATATGATGTTAGGACCAAGTAACAAGGAATACCAAAAAGCCCAGTTTCTCAGCTGAGCCTTGTAGGAACTAGTGGAGCAGGACACTAACTGGGATCTGAATAAAAGAGAGCCATTCTGAGGAAACTAGTCAAACCAATCAATCTTAAAATCCACACAAGGCCACACAAATTCCCCCTCCCCCAGCCCACCATTTATGACTTCCTTCATTGTCATCCACCTATACATAACAGTGAAAATAAAGGATTATTTAAGGCTGAACCATGCCTAAAACTTTCCCGTGCTCAGCCCCCCCAAGGCCTCTGCCCAATCCCAAGACCTTACTCATTTAACACAATGATCTCCAGCTCTAGGTCTCCCTTGTCTTTCACCACCTGGTTGTAGCGGCTCCTCCAGGATTCCAGGGTAGACAGGGCTTCAGCAACATACAGATCCTGGGGACACCAGGAAAGGGACAAAACAGACTCATCAGCCCAAACAATAAGAGATCCTGGCCTTGGCACAAAGGTCAGAGGGCAAAAGAGATCCCTCATGCAGGGCCTTCAGGTTCTCAATCTAGTAGAGTAAAACTGTGAGGCCAGGCCCAACATCTACAATCCATCATTTTGAAAAACCAAAAAAAAGTGGACAATGATGTTAGACCCTAAAATCTGAAACTGACTAAAGGCTGAGAAAATATTGCTCCCAAATTGCAAGTGACCACAATAATAATTAAGCTTATAAATCCCTTCTTACACAAAGACCTCAATCTCTGTAGTTTATGCACCTTTCTTACAAAATGCTCAAAAGTTGATGACTACTCTTATCATTACCATCTTGGAAAGGGGCAGGGATAGTTAAACATATTACAAATGGGAAAGCTGTGATGCAAAGGTATCTAGTGATTTGCTGAAGTTATGGTTCCCTTTTAAGCCCCTTCTTTCAAAGTCTTAAGAATCATTACAGACAGTAACCAAGTTGGGAGAAGAACTTAAAGTGGATAATTGATAGCCTGGGGCTCCTTCTGTTGGACAACACTGTTTCAGAAGCCTCAGGTGTCCTTTTTAATCTTCCCAAGGCACCTTCTCAGTTTCACTACCCTACAGTATCCCTGTTTTATAAACTATCCCTAATTACCTTCTTGGCAGGCAATCTTTATCCACCCTAAGGCCATGTGACTAGATCTATCAATCTAACACAAGTGACCATCCTACTTAGGAGACGAATGGGGAGCAAGCTGTCCTCCTCAGGTCAGGCCTGGATGAGAGGCTGGCCAGGACAACGGCTAAAGCACTGGTCTTTAAGTAAAGAGACCTGTGTTGGCATGCTCCCTCAGAGCCTGACTGGCTGCTGGGTGACATTAGGCATACATTGCTCAGCCTCTCAGAGTCAGAGTTTCCTCATCTGTAAAATGGGCGCTATTACTTTCCTCAAAGGGTCACTGTGAAAAAGTGCCACTGGTATGGATGTGAGTGATCTTCGGTCATTCCTCCCAGCTCGGTTACCTTGTCTGCAAGCTGGACATGCAGTTGTTCGGCATACTCTTCACTCCGCTCCGCCCTCTCCTGCTGTGCTCGGATGGCTTTCTTCAAGGCTTCTTTGTCCCGGTCTCCTTTCTGCTTGAGGTCCTTCAGCTGCTCCATGATTGCCTCCATTTCAGCCTTATGCTGAGAACCACTGCGCTCCAAATTCTGGGGAGGGGAATGAAGAATGAGGCTTAAGGAGCACTAAGGCTCAATGTTCCTGTTGCAGGAACAACTAACTGCTTATCACTCCCCAAAAGGTCCCAGCTTCTTTTGGATGCCCAGAGTGTTATGAAATGCTCTGTGACCACAAGATGGTGGGCGGTGAAGAGGGAAACTCTGAAGGGAGGCTGCTATCATGCATCTTCAGATCTACTGCATTACCTAGTAGCCCTTAAGATGTGATAAATTCCTCTCAAAATTCCCTGTTGTCAGTGAAAACTTACCTGATTCCTTTTATCCAGTAAGAATGACAGAACCCAGCATATTCCTCATTCAGCCTTTCCTCTAAGGAAGCTCAGGGCTACATTCAATACTCAACTGCTACAATGAATTTACCACCTTAGGACTCTGATACCAAATACTGTCTGCTTCTTGTACCGGGATTCTGCTTTGTTTTCATTTTAATTTGGTTCCTCCATCCACTGAAGTCCTACTCCAATTCCTCATCATGATGTGGAAGGAACCTGGGTTCTCAAAAACTCTGCCAGCAGAGTGTAAGCTTTAGCAGACTGTGCCAAGCTGGGAAGGCTTTAAGTGTGGGCCTGGTGCCAGGCTGTACTTATGGTGTACCAGGACCAATGGAGCTAAGTTTAGAGGCCTATTGCCAAGTTGGCACATTAATTTTTTTCTGCTACAACAACTTTCAAACTGCATTGGTAGAGGATATACACACTAAAGAAACTATAGATCCTTGAATTACTGAAATAAGTTTATTTGAAACTGCATAGTGCATATATTTTTTAAAAACTATTTTAACTTTTTAAACTCAAACCTGTTTTAGAAGCAGAAAGGACATAAGTTAAAAAAAAAAAGTACACGAACAACAACGGACGATAAAACACTAAGGGAATGGTCAGGCAAAGTTGCTATGGACACAACCGTCCATTTAGTGGTTGCCTTAGATTTCTGGGCAAAGGAAAGCCAGTCAGAGTGCTCTGCATCACAGGAAAATAACAACTTTAGAGCTAGAAGGAACACTGAAGGTCAATGAGAGCAGTCCACTTATTGTGGAAATTGAGGTCCAGGGAAAATAAGTGACTTGCCCAAGGTCTCATGAGTTGTGCTCGAATCAAGATTTGAACCCAGGTTCTCTGACACCGGAACATGTATGCTTTGCTGGGTATGTAAGAGATACAACATGCAATCACAGGCCATAAGTGCATTGTAGGGCCATAGCCACGTACACTGACGTACATTCCTTGGGTTGGTCTCCTTATCTGTCTCTACTAGAGAAGCCTAGACGTGCTATCAAGAAGAATGGAATTAATTCCATGGAACCTAGAACTCTGAAGGGTTAGTTACCTTGATCTGGATTACAAGACGACTATTCTCTGCTTCTTTAGACCGCAGTTGTGTCTGCAAATGCCCCCGCATGGATTCCATGGTCTTGGAGAGTTCAGATGCTGTCTTAGCTTGAGCCTGCAGAGAGATCATGTCAGAAGAGTTCCTTTCCCTTGGTGGATACACATGTCCCCCACACCTGTGATAACCACAAGCTGCATGCCTGGGTCCTGCGCAGAGGGCTGCTCAAATTTTATGAAACTGCCAAAACATAGTGACTATGAGAGGATGAGAGTGGGTATCTGATGGACCTTCTCTGTATCTTAGATGTGGTTTGTTTCCAAGGATAGAGCTAAAGGAAACCCTGAGGAAAATTTTAAGTATGAGGAAAATATTAAGAATGTTCATGGAGGGGTTGGGTTGGGAGTCTCGAGAGGGCAGCAGGGAGGGACAAACAATAACTGAGGATTTGGAATACCAACGTCAGAACAATTTCCTATTTCAAACTCTCTCTACACAACAGGAAAAAAATAAACATGGAGTAGGGAAAGAAACTACCTTCTCACACTGAATTTCTTGTAGTAGCTCTTCCACTTCCTTGTCTTTATCTTGTAGCAATAGTAGCAGGCGCTGGAAGACAACACACATCTCAGTTTCCCTTGGTGAAGGGGTGGGCATGCAAGTTCCAGGGCAGGCTGTTACCTTTGTACTTCTGCTAGCCAGAAAGGACAGCACTCACATGTGCCAGGCTTGGAACTCATCACTTGGTCATTGGGGCCTGGCAGTTAGGCTGACCCAGGCCACACAGTCCAAACCACAACCCACACAATTGAAATTAATGGGGCACATGCCTTTTGGAGGTTGTAGAGCAAATATATTCTGCTTTTTTTTTTTGGTGAGGCAACTGGGGTTAAGTGACTTGCCCAGGGTCACATAGCTAGTAAGTGTCAAGTGTCTGAGGTCAGATTTGAACTCAGGTCCTCCTGACTCCAAGGCTGGAGTCACTGCGCCACTAGAGCAAATATTCTGAATAAAATGTGGTTGACTCTAGGAAAGTGCCATTGTATTTTTGAGCTGCCCAGAAATGGGACCCATGGCAACATTGTGTTAAAATTAACCCTTCTAACACTGCCCCAAATGAATCAAGAGTTACTCATATACATTTTGCAAAGCAAATTATGGCTCAGAAAGGCTAAGAAAATCTACATTTTCTAACACTGAGGCTGCCCAGGACTCTATCTGCATGGATTCAGTGCCCTGAATTCCCCAAGAAAACCCTTTTATCATTTGAACAAGATCAAGAAGGTGGCTTTACATTACCGCTTTCTCCGAGTCAGCTTCAGCTAGTCGTTTTAACAGGTTTCCTTGTTGCTCCATCAGCTTTTCTGAATCCTTCAGAGACAATCAAACTATCAAGGCTATCATAAAACCAACCTCCCCCCCACCCGCCTGCCCCACAGCTTCTAGTCTCTGAGTGATATTGATCTCGAAGGAAGGGCCCTCATATTATTTTCCTGCCCCCGTGTATTTGTTCCCCATGGAAGCTGGCATGCCAGAGGAGGAAAGGGCAAGGTAGTTTTTCACTCAAGTTTCTAATGCTCCTGATGAACACAGTGGCTTCCTCTTTTTCAAGTAAAGCCAGAGGATGACATCAGGTCAAAGAACCAGGTCAAGAATCAGGGAACCAAAAATCCGGATTTTTTTGCTTCCCTATTTGAGGCCAAAAGTGGAGGAAAAAAACAATGATTCCCTTTGACATGCTTTAACCAACCAATCAAGAACTTACTTAGCTTACAACACTACCAGATATAGGATGAATTTAGAGAAATATGGGGAAACTTGCAGGGTAAAGAAAGCAGATCTAGAAGAACAAAGCATACAACAGCTATAATAATGTAAATAAAAATCCCCCAAAGAAGCTACACTCCAATTCAATGCCATGACCAATTGATCTTGCAGGAGAAATGATGAAACATACTTCCTTCCTCTCATCAGAGAGACAGATACAGGGAGGCTGAATGCTACAGATGCTGTAAAACACAGTCACTATTATCAGTCGGTTTTGCTTAACTGTTTTTCTTTGTTATAATAAAAATTTCTTAGAGGATAGAGAGGGAGTAATACCAAGAAATAACTTTGATATAAAAACCAAAAAGGTTATCAAATAAAATTTTAATATGGCTGAAAGGGGGAAAAACTTATTTATTACTTAACTAACTCTTCCCTGGTAATATGTTTTAAGTAATTAAATGATTTAACTACTCATCTCAGTGAGCCCCACTCCCTTCCCCGTTCACAATCAGAAAAGGGCAATGACCACAGAATCACAGAATATTAAGTGAATATGGACCTTGGATCTAGTGTAATCCTCTCATTTTTACAATGAGTAGCAAATTAATTTAAATCATAGCAGCAAATTAATGAACATCAAAGCAATTAAGGTCTAGAGAGGAAAAAAGGTTACTGATAGAGATGGGGTAGGTACTCAGACCATCTAAACTTACAGTTCAAGTGCTTTCTCCACTATAGCACACTCAAATATATTCTAGTCAGCCTCTATTAGATACAGGCCAAAGTTCTTTAAAAAACGAAACAATTATAGCTGTCCAGCAATGGAATAAAAAGGTCTCAAAGTGCAGTGAGTTCCCTTTTGCTGGATCCAGATTATCTGGGATCACTTAGAGGAGATTCCTACAAAGGTAGGACAGCTTCGATTAAATAACACCTAAGGTGTCTTTAAATCCTGAAATTCTATAATTTCCTGTTTTAGAACCTTAGTATGATAGAAGTTATGAAAGCAGAAAGATGGAGAAGTAAGAAACCAATGTTAGAAGCAAGTTGTACATAAGGGGATAGGCTTTCCACAAAAACAAAAGGAAGGTGACTGAGCCAGTGGCTCAGTGAGGAAGGCCCAGGGTTACCTCTTTAGAATGTTGCTCCTTCAGCAAATCTCTGAGAGTACGATTAGTCTCTTCAAAAGTACTCAACTTCTGGAGAAGCAGTTCCTTTTGCCGGGTCAATGTATTGATGTCAGTGCAAGTCATGTGCTTCTCCTAGAAATTAATCGAATAAGCAACAGGAATTTGTTATTGAATGCCCACTGCGCTCAGTGCTACAGGTGATACAAAGAAATTAAAAGATAAGCATCCCCCTACTTTTAAGGAGCATACAGTCTAGCTGGGGAATATGTGATACAATCACAACTAATCAAAAGCTAATTAACAAGGTAAGATAGTATATGATAATGGCTAAATAAGTGGCACAGGCAATAAGTGTTAACATAGGAATTAAAAGAAAATGACTGTGAGTTGGAGTACTAAGGAGGGCTTACAAAGGAGATGGGACTTGATCTGGACCTTGAAATATAATCAGGATTCAAATGGACAGAGAGAAAAGTATAATCCCTTGTGACCTTTCATTTCATGGACAGCTACAACATGGCTTGATATCCTATGACCCCTGGTGATCCGGTACTGTTTTCTCTGGATTCACCAGTGATGAACCAATTCTTCCAGATAATAACTGAGAACAGGAGAGGGAGTAGGAAGAAACAAGATGGTACATTCAACAACAGGATGAATTGGTCACACCTAGAGCCCTGGGGTTCTCTAATTAGTTGAAAGGAATTATAAGGTACCAAGTGATATCAAAGCGTCAAAGTCACCTTCAGAACCATGAAGAAAGTACTCATCACTCCTTCACCACTTACCGATTTCAGTTTCCCGATTGTATCCTTCAGTGCCATTACTTGCTTGGCAGCAGCTGCCCCATCCATCTCTGCCTCCACGAGCTTAGACATGAGACATTCTTTTTCCTGTTGCAAATGCCTTTTCTGTAGCCTGTAAATACAGTTTGGTTGAGTCATCACCCATCAAGCCTACCTCTAAAAAAAAAAGGCCTTCTCTCTCCCTCTACAAAGCTCTAAGGGCTTCCCCAATTACAATGGTGCTTTCTAACCTCAAAAGTCAGGAATCATTAGACTATCCCTAGGAGATAGGAAAAACTGAGGTCCCAGAAAGGCTAAATTGGTAGGGAGAGATAGGGGCAGGAAAGGAAATTTAATGACATCCTTTTTCCCTTTTTTATGACTATTTCCTCTCCCCTGGTCATTTCTACTTCCAGAAAAGTACAGTGGGATTAGAGTGAAGGGGTATGGGAAAAGGGAGAAAGGGTAGCTGTGCAAGGTACATATTCTGAATGGGCTTAAGCTTTGGAAAAGGTACAAGGCCACCCAGTGGAAAATGTGCTATAATAAGCAACACCTCCAGGTAAGAAAGACATTTCTGATAACAAAAAATAAAATTCTACAGATACCTCTATAGTAGGGAGTGAGTATTCGGGTAGGATAAGAATGGGAGAAAAACTGCTTTACACTGTAAAATCCTTTTCCTCCTTGATACGCTCAATATTTTGTCGAAGCATGGTGTTCTCATGCTCAGTCTCTGCCAGCTCGTGGGCCACCTCCTCCAGCTCTTCCTTCCGCTCCTCTAGGAACCGTTTCGCCATCTGGCGCTCCCCTTTCTGCATCTTTACCTAAAGAAGGGATCACAAGTACAGTCCAAATGGCCAAAGAAGCAAAAAGATTTTTCATCCGTGGGACCCCTCTACTCAGAGATAGGGGAGCATAGGAGGGTTAATAGAGAAGGCAGTGATGAGGAGAGATTAGCAAGGACTTTCTGTAGACTGGAGATGCCAAGGAGTAGGGCTGTCTCTAGGGGGTACAGAGCCCAAGGCAAATCAAATCATATTGTGTGGAGTGCCCCCCTTAACATTTTTACACAGGTAAAATCTGATTAAAATGAACAACAAAGGCAGACTTCAAGAAGAGGTGGAGGGGAGGAGATGTCACAAAAGGGCAACATGCAATCTGAGTGGTGTGTATGGAGACGGGGAGGGGGACTGTTGCCAGGCAGCCAACTGGGGGTGGGGTGGGGTGGGGTGGGGGTGGGGAGAATGAGGGAGGTACATGCCCATATATATGTACATCATCAGTGCATTCAGAAGTATTTTTTCTTTAAGTACCAGATGATGAAGATAATTCCCTGATAGTCTAGTGACCTGGTTGCCACAACAGCACAGGAACAAAATCACCCCCCCAAAAAGGATGCAGAACCACAAGCAAATCACCCCAATTTGCCACACAACAGAGAGAGTTCTGCTAAGGATTGGGGAGTGGTAAGGCAAAGGCTGTCTATGGCTTCCCTAGCCATATGTTTATCATAGAAACCACTTCCCCTCACCCATCCTTCCAGTCTGACTGTTCTGGACTATCCTAATCTCTACTAGTTCAGATGACAATATTAATTCTGTTTCTAGGACCAAATGTCTAGTGGGTGCCAAGGGGAAGAAGGCTGCAGAAACCAGCCCAAGTTCATCTCCTACTTCACATTTCCTCTGCCAATTCCCCTTACCACCCATCCTAGCTCACCATAGGCATACCTCTGATTTAAGACAACCAACTGTATTTAGTAAAGTGTCCATCTTCTTCTCATAACGATTTGTCTTGCAATGACCAGAAGAATCTTCATCCTCTGTAGACAGGTCACTTAATCGCATCACTGAAACCAGTTTTTCTGAAGATGGTGGAGATATCTCTACACAATGAGGTGGAGGACTCTGACACTAAGGTGATCAGTAAAGATAACATTACCATCAGACAAGACTTTAAGTCAAAAGGCTGCACAGCACATTGGAGATGGGGATGGGGTATAGGGTAATCAACCAACTATAGAATAATGTGAGCCTGGAATTCTGGATTCTGTTTGTACCTCCACCAGGCCCTGCCCACCCCAGCCCCCCATCTCCAAACAATTCAGAAGGCACCTAGAACCAATCCCTTTACCCTCTTTGGTTCTCTGTTTCCTGATCTGTAAAACAGGGAGAACAAATCTGACCCAATTCTCACAGGGATATAGACACACACTGTGAGATAAATCCTTTAATGACACATAAAATAGTATGAATGACTGGACCAGGTGGTCAAGAGGAAAAAACCACTAAGCAAGCACACAGAACTTAGGAAATTTAAGAGCCCTTGGAAATCAACTAGTACAACTTTATTTTACATATGAGGAAACTGAGGTCCAGAGAAGTTAAATTATTTCCCAAGACTTCACAGCTAGTCAGTTACCAGAGTTGGGACTCATACCCAAGTCTCCTGATTGCCCAGCCAGTCAGCACTCATTATATTATATACTATATGTGTAAGAGACTAAAAAGCAGCTAATCCAACCTGCTTGTTGATATGATCCTGAACTCACACAAAAAGGGAGATTTGTCTTAATGTTTGCATCTCTCCTAAAAAGGTCACTAAATTTAGGACATGGTATTTTACACACATTGATCAATTCACTGTTTCATTTTACTCCCCAGAATTCCTTTTTCTCTCTTTCTCAGAAGTAACATAACCCTGTTACTAAGGAGAAACTGGCTTAATGAGATTGATCTTTTACTAATCAGAGCAGAGCATGTACATCTAAATCAGTTCTATCTCCTTGAAGGTAGTCACATTGGGAAGGAATTTATTTCAATGAGGCTTGCATTGCTCAGAAAAATTTTAGAAATTCCTCTTTGAAAACTGCTTTCAGAGAACATGGCATACTCTCTTTAGTGCCTCAATGGGAGCAAACTTTATACTTTAAGAGTCTATTTGGTTTTTTAGAAACAGTCAAGAGTCAATTGGAATTAAGGCTGTCGACTAACTCCAATACAATACTATACCCTTTTGTATCAAAAACTAGTTGTGGCTATAATATAATGGGTTGAATTTTTCTAGCCTTGTTCATAGCCTGCTTCTGAAGGTCACCACCAAAGAGGAGTTCAGAAAATATGTTCTGAGAATTGAAACATCATTGGAGTAAGTGTCTCTAAGTTCTCATTTGCTTAAGTAAAATCATCAATCTCATTTATAATACTTTATAAACTAGAAAACCCATGCAGAATTTCTCATGGGAAAATAAACTATGTGATTCCTGCTTAAATCCACTGCAAAGGAGAGATCCCTGGGATCGCCTAAACTCAAAGTTTTTCAAGTAAATTCAAACCAAATTTGTTCAAATAGTATTAGTTTGGGAGCACAATGAAGCCTACAGGAAAATGGAATGCTAATACCTCCCATTTGCAGCCTAGGTGCCGGACAGATGCTTTGCCAGGGGGCATCCAAGGGACTTTAGTTTTCACTCGAACACTCCGCCGGACATTCACCGTGTCTCCTCTCATACCACGTTTATGCGACTTCTGTTAACCATGAACATACACACACAAATATATGCAATGGATATAATCATACGATAATACAGGCAGCAACCCAAGCAAAACACTTATTGTGGTACTTTGCTGAGAAACAAGCTTCCATGAAGATGCTGCTGGCTGACTTCTAGATGAAGATAACTTTCTTTTCCTGACCATTTGAAGTAAAGATTAAGTCAAAACAAAGCAAGAGACCTGGGTGATGTCTAGGCCCTGGTGCTGGCCCTAGTCCGCAGCCTTCATTCACCACGCCCCAATTGGCATGCTCCTACCTGGCTCTTGGCCGGTGTTGGTTTCGGGATCTTTTTTATGTGAACGTGGACAGGAGTGTTCTCATCCACGTGAACATGTAAAGGGGGAGTTGAAGAGCGGTTCTTCATCATTCTCTTCTGGCGGGCAGGGGAGGACAACACAATAAAAGGTTGATCTGCGGATAAGTAAACTGGGCATGAAAAAGAGAGCTCACTGCTTTGGGGATCTGCTGAAAGTGTAGCCACTGGGCCCATAGCACAGCTACCACCTACATGCACATGCATCCATGTAGACCACACTCAAGTGACATGAACCAAGATTTGAGTTCCCACGCAGCAGGTGACTAAGTTCACTTTAGATGAGTCCCATTGTAGACAAAGTAAGGGCTGGTTCAGTAGAGAGAAGTATCTGCAACTATCACTGTTTTCTTTTGGCTACAGCAGTATCCAGGCCCCAACATCTTTGAATTTGATTTTCCACCTTACCTATCATCTAAAAAACTCTGTAGCATGTCAAAATAGGCGGTCTAATTTGAATCCTACATCATAATTTAAAATATCCATGTTAATTGGCAGTGGCTTAGAGGCTCTGGGCCTAAAAGTTTTGGCCAAGATCCAGAAGAAGTAAGCTAGCAGGCAAATAAAAACTTTTAAAAATGCAAAGTATGTCCTCCATAATACTAGTACTACAATTCCTGAGACTATTAATCTTCTGTTTTCAAGTGAATCAGATTTCTGGCACTAGTTAAAGATGAGAAGGTCTACATGAATTTTGCAGATAGATGAAAATACTGTTGTTTGTTTTCTTGATAATATGTTTGCAAGGCTGACCAAAAGCAATCGGGAATTAGCTTTTAAGCACAGTTTAAGTATCATTCTTGGGACCAAACAAAGTCGCCACATGCAAAGCAAGGCCAAGCTAAAACAGACATATGAATAGGATTTTAAAGGGTGCTTCACCAACTATCAAAAGCTTGCAAGCTCCACTAATGCAAAAGCTGCCAATAAGTTGAAGCCCTTGCCCCATGTCCCCTCACATACCGTAACTGTTACGTTGGGAGCTCCACAAGGTGTTCGTAAGACCTTTTTCTGTGTGACAGTCGTTATGCCGCTTTTCCCGCAAGGTGGAAACCTGCTTATGGGCACAAGAATTAAATTATAAATGCCATTTTTGTTCTCCTACAATTACATGACATTGATTAGGTGACTATTATTCTTCAACTTGGAAAACTAATTTTATTAACTACAAGCGACAAAACACACATTACACATAAGAAGTAAATATGATGCTAATTTGAGGGGGCCATCATCAGCATTTCTGACTTTTTAAACTGGCGCTTCATTACTTTTATCATGGCCTTGCTCTGCCAAGCAGTTGTAATCCCACTTCAAATAAAATCAACAACTGAGCAGTGTAACAGACAGGAAAGAATGCAGTATGAGTTAGAGTTAACTACAGTAGTATGTGAAAGATGAATATAGTCAAGGGCAATGTATGCTAAATCTTCTTTGTGATAAAAAAAACAGACCACCAGACTTAATCTCGTAAAGCTGAATGTTATTTAGTGTGTAAACTGAGTCTATTAGATTTTAGGGGGTTTGGGAGAAGATCTTGGGAGCGAGGAGAAATTATTTTAGTCAAGAATTTGTACTTTATGTCTTTTTAAGTACTTAAAGCAAAAAATGGGTTTATTTTTTAGCCAACCATGTTTATACTATGCACAAGACTTATCAAATGCAGGACTTTTTTGTCACAAGATTTTAAAAATTTCAACACAGCAATAAAAGTTTTATAATGTATTTAATTTTTCACATGAAAGAATTCTGGCGTAGAAAGGGGCTTGAAAAGATTGTTTTGCCCATCTCTGGGAGAGGCCATCACTGTTTTTAGATAGATTCAACTCGAAAATATTCCTGACAGATTCAATTTAACAAACATTTATTAAGTACTCACCATGTGCAAGGTATTATATTTGGCCCTAGGCATGGACTGGACTGTTGGATTAATCAACAAATTTTTATTAACTATCTAATATCAACTAGGGATATCCAATTTAACATCCCAACCAATATTAGTATACTTAGTTTCCCCACAAATAAAATTTCTGTTCCCCTAGTATTTGTGGAATTGAAGCAAATCAAAGTACCTATCCCTCACCTTTCACTCTTTCTCCTCTGGGATCATCCCATCCCTGAAAGAATATACTGAGACCTTAACTCCTGGCCTAATCTATCATAGCTACTAAGTATTTAGAAATATTAAATCTGGCAAGGTGGTTTAGATTTGAATTAGTGTATTTTTAAATGCTGGGGACAAAAAATTCATAACACAAAAATGAGAAAGTCAAAAATAGGAAACTGAAAGTCCAGTCTGTGGTTCCCTTGATTTCTTTTGAAGGTGAATGATATCACATTGGTGATCATTAAATCTTATCACACTGCTCATAATTTAAAAAGCTAGAGCTGCATACCAGATGATAAAGCATTGCCAGGCTTCAGCCCCATTTAACAGAGGTGAGATAACAAAAGCTAAGTAGATTTAGACAAGCCTGGGTTGGCAAAGAGACAGACTGTCATGGGACGAAAATCAGAGGGTCTCTCCGTCTGGGTGGAGGAGGCTTGGTGGCAGCAGCCAGAAGGACCCACTTTGCCCACTGGAAAAAGATTCACCATGTAACTGGGAGCGCCCAAGCAGGATGGGACAGGGAGTGCATTAATGCTCTTCCTCAAACCTCGGTGTGGGCATTCCCCTGCCAAGGGTTAATGCCACAACTGCAAATGCGAAGAGGGACCCAGGGGAGGCAGAAATAGAAAAAAGGCGACCGGGGGACATGGTGAGGAAGGGGGGGGGTCCCTGGAGCGTAGGGGAAGGAACCACCTCCCTTCATTGACGGGATCCGCTTGTCAGGGGCCGCCCCACCCCCACAGCCCTCACCCGGGAGAGGTCCGGCCCAGGGACCGCCGGAGGCCTAGGGAGAATCGGGAGCAGGTACGGGCAGGGGCTCGCCCCAGCCGTGCCCGAGGGGACCGGGCATCCCCGATCGCCTGGTGGGTCAGGAGATCCAGAAAGCATGAGTAGGCAGAGCCAGCGCCATCCGGAACTGTTCTTGGAGAGATCATCGGATGGAATAAATGCCCGGATGGAGGGTAAGCCCCAAGGTTAGTTACTCTTCCTCCCCCTCGACGGGGGTTCTGAAGTGTGACGTCCCCCGAGACAGGGGGGATCCACAGGGCGGGGCTGGCCCAGGGCAGACCTTCGAACGCGGCGGGGCGGGGGGAGACTTCGGGGGCCAGCGGGGGCACGGTTCCCCCCTCCCAGTCCTCTCCTCTCACCAGGAACGGCACGGCTGTGCCCAGAAACGCCGCCTTATGAAGTCGTTGAAATCGGTGGCCAGGGTAGTGCCATGGAGACGCCGGGGAAGATGCAATCCACCTCCCCCAGCTACTCCTCCCTTCTTCCGCCTCCTTTTCCGACACCCGGTCGGCAGCTCGCCCATTGGCCAGTTCAAACCCCACCTGGAGCTCCTCCGACTTCGCCATTTAACCACGGCCCCTGGCGTCACAGAGACGCCCCGCCCCCTCCCGCCCACTTCCTGCACGGAGCGAGGCTGTCGCCTTGGAAACGAAGTGGGGGGAGGAGATGGGAGGGAAGAGAAGGAGATGGGAGGGGAAGGGGGAGAAGGGAAGGGGGGAGGAGGAGAAGGAGAAAGGAAATGGGGAAACAAGGGAAAGGGAGAGAAGTAGTGAGAAAAAGGCAAGGAAATGGATAGGAGAAATAGGGGAAAGAGTCTTAGGGAGAGAAAAGAGAAGGGAAATGGGAGAGGGGAGGTGGAGGAAGGGGAATGAGGGAGGAGGTAGAGGGAGTAAAAGAAAGCAGGAAAGTTGGGGAGGAAGGGACAGAAAGGGAGGGAAGGGAAGAAAAGGAAGCAGTTGGGGAGGGGAAAAGGAAGATAAAAAGAGAAGTTGAAATTTGAATTAGTGCCTTGTCACAGTAAATGCTGTAGGTGTGTCACAAAGGAGAGAATACAGTATAATCTAATTTGGTGACCACCATTCAGTGGAGGAATGTGCCAAATGAGTTTCAAATGGCAGCATCATACCATGGAGTTTCCATTCCTGTCATCTATTGAAACAGCTCCCTCCAAGGTCATAAGTGGGAAGCCTTCTCAGATCCCCAGATCCTATTAACCTTTTTTTCAGTCCTGAAACTCCTTGACCTCTGTTGCTTATGACACTGTTGACCACACCCTTCCAGTAGATATTCTCACCCGCTTCTCCTCTCTTATGGACCTCTCCTTTATCTTTGCCTGACTACTATGGCACTAAATATACTGCTCTGAAAGTAGTAGGTGTTAAGTTTGTTGAATGAGATAGGAGAGACGAGGATATCACTAGTTTAATTAATTTGAAGTGACAATACAGTTTTGTCGGTTTTTCAGTCATGTCCAACTCTTCATGACTCCATTTGAAGTTTTCTTGGCAAAGATACTGGAGTGGTTTGCCATTTCCTTCTCCAGATCATTTTACAGACTAGGAAATTGAAGCCAACAGGGTTAAGTGACTTGCCCAGGGTCACACATCTAGTTGACTCAGGAACTGAACTCAGGAAGATGAGTCTTCCTGACTCCAAGCTCAGCACTGTGCCACCTAGCTGCCTGACAATACAATAAGAAAGGTTATTTTTAATGACATTTTACATCCAAAAGATTGTTGTCCTTCTCTGAGGTGATCTCCAAAGAGATCTTACATGTATGCCCATGAGGCTGCCATTTTTAAGAGATTCTTAGGAAATGGACTTCATGCATGAAAGACATGCATGAAAAGCAGTCTTTGCAGTGGCTGATGCAAAGTGAAATGTACTGTGTACAAAAGAACAGCAGTATTGTGGGATGATCAGCTGTGAATGACTTGGCTATTCTCAGCAATACAACGATCCAGGACAACTCTGAAGGATTTATGATGAAAAAATGCTGTCCACCCCAAAAGAAAAAAAAAACTGATGGTGTCTGAATACAGATTGAAGCATACTTTTTTTAAACTTTATTTTTCTTGATTTTTTTGGTCTGTTTTCTTTCACAACATGACTATTATGGATATGTTTTGCATGACTACATATGTATAACCTATGTCAAACTGCTTGCCTTCTTGATGAGGGGTTTGGGGAGGGAAGAAGAGAGAGAATTTGGAACTCAAAGTTTTTAAAAAAATGTTAAGAATTGTTTTTACATGTTACTGGGGAAAAATAAAAAGAAAATACTTAAAGAAAAAAGAAAAGAAAGGCAGTCTCATGATCTTACAATCACACCTCCATTTTTGACACCAATGATATAGACCAATCTGATCATCCACCTTTTTCATCAGACTTTTCTGGGAATGACTGATGGCAGTTTACCCATATCAAATCCACTCTCAGAGGGAAAAGATTTGCCCTCTCTTGGGGCATTCAAAATAATATAATGTAGGTCCCAAAGGCCATTCTGAAATTATTTCAGGCAATGACAGCATCTTGGAGATGAGTTATTACAAGTGTATTATTCACCCAAGGGGAGCATTTTGAAGGGCATAGCATTCTCTTGGATATGTAACTTCTGGTGGTGTGGTGCTGTTGTTTTTTATTTAAGATAGTAAAAATGCAGTTTAACATCCTTGTTTTCATAGTCAACATTAAAGTCATTAAATCCAGAGACTCCTGGTTAGCTTTTTGTTTTTTGAGGAGGTGATAGAGATTATTATTTTTGTATCACTAGCATCTTGAATTAGTACCTGGCACATATGCATAAGTACTAATATTTATTGAATAGGATTGAATACAGTCAAGTCTATATCTTATAACTCAGTCATAATTAGCTATACTTAACTGAACCAAGGGTAAGGAAGGTAAAAAGAAGCTGTGATTCAGATAATTCCCAATAAAGGATAATTCAAAATGTATTTCCTTTTAGAATAAGTTAAAGAACATAGTACTGATTTATTGTCATTGTAACTTTCTCTTTTCCTAGGGTATCCTGGCAAACATGCTGTAGTGGATAGATTGAGTATTAGATTTGAAATAAGGAAGACCTATTTCAAATCCTGTCTCTGACACAGTGGCCCTGGGGAAATCATTTAACTTCTGTGAGAGACTCAGTTTCTTCATTTGTAAAATGTGGGGTTTGACAAAATGGCCTTTAAGGTCCCTTCCAGCTCTAACTCTGTGAGTCCCCCTTAATCCTTTGCATGTCAACAGGTTTGCAGGACCACAGGGTCAGGAGGAATCTCCCGATAATATACTAAGTACCAAAGGAGCCAGCCTTGTTCAAAGAATTGGCTTCAGAAATTTGAGCTTAAGCTCTGGTATACTTGTTCAAAATTTAGTTTCCTTAGTTTATAGTCACTTCAAATACTTTAAATTAGATTGTATCTTGTGTACCAATTCACTCTCACCCCCAATTCATTTCAGATGTTAGAGAGATAGAATCATAGAAGTTTAGAGTTGGAAGGAACCTTAGAAGTCTTCTAATCCAACTAATATCCTGAAGATATTTAGTTCTCCGAAGGAGGATGCATTTTTCAAGAGTTTGAAAAGGAAAAAAATATTTTCAATGGCGAGAGATATTTCAGAGCCATTAAAAGTCAGTGATGCCAATTGACTATAGTCATTCCATCAATTAAGACTGATTGAAAGCTGAATGATGTATCTAACTTTAAAGACTGGGTGAGTGGGGAAACTGGGGGAAGGGCCAGGAGGGAATTCCTATGATTAAAGAACTGATAACTAATTCTGAGAAGCCCTGCCCAGAACCAAGCCAGGGTAGCAGGCAGAGAGGAAAGAAAGCCTTTGATTCCCCCTGGTGTATCAGAAGATCATTGTTTCTAAAAGGTACCTTAGAGTTCATGTAGTGACTTCAGACTCATTACCAAAGAGATACAACTGTATATATGCAAGTGTCAGTTCATAAACATTTACTGAACACTTACCTATATGTGCTGAGTACTATACCAAGTGTTCTGGGTGATATAAAAGGATAAATAGACCGCAGTCCCTATCTTTATGGAGTTTACAACATAGCCGAAGGAAACAAATCACTAATTATACCTCCATAAATCAGTTTAGGAATGAATACCAGGGACTGCAGAAGCAAATTGTCAATACAATAAAATGGACTCCAAATGAAAGCCTTAAGTACTGAGGGGCTGTACAATAAAGGAGGGGCTGGGGAGATAATTTAAGAGGACTTTCTGGAGGAGGTTACTGGTAGAGGGGAAAAAGAGGTGAGAGGAAAGCATTATGTTACAGACGGGAATTGCTATGTGTAAATGCAGAGACTGAAAAGAGCAAGGAACATTTTTCTTAACATTTAGATCTATTCAAAAGTGGAACAGGCTGCCCGAAAATAATGGATTCCTCATGCCTGGAGGTTCTTCCAGTGAAGAATGCCTGTCAGGAATGTTGGAGAGAGAAATTCCTGTTCAGGTTGGGTTGACTACATAACCCCTGAGATGTCTCTTCCAATTATGATATTCTATGATTCTGTGTCCCGAGAGATGGAAAGATAGGTTAGGCGGTAGTGGAGAATCTGTGATGAGGAGTAAACAGATTTGAGGTTAAGGCCTTGTTTTTTTTTTTTTTGCTGTACCAGTCAGAACCTCAGAGACCCTTCCCTCTGTCTCCTTGTAGACTCCTCTGCACATTTGATTCCTTTTTTCCCCCTCAAAGGGCAGAGCTTAGCAACAGGTGATATAAAATCTTAAAGCTACTTGCTTTCCCAAAGAAAATGTCACTGCCTTCTCACCTTCATTAGCATTTGGTTCTCAAAGGCAAATAGAAGTCTGGATCATAGGACACCAGTAAGGGGGGATTGTGGGCTGTTGACCCTCCCCATTAGCTTGTGTCTGTCCAGGAACTGGGGAGGTATTTTCCCTAGCCATAGCACTTAGAAAGCACTTGGTCACAGCTCATCCAGAACCCTGAAGAATAATAATATCTATGTATCTCATATTATCCTCACAACAACCCTGGAAGGTAGGTGCTATTATTATCCCCATTTTACAGATGAAGAAATTGAGGGTGACAGAGGTTAAGTGACTTGCTCAGCATCACACAGCTAGTAGATGAGGCTAAATTTAAACTCAGTTCTCCCTGACTCCAGGATCACCTCTCTATCCACTGCGCCCCCTACTTGCTAAAAAGGGAAAATAATAGGCATGTTGGGTTGTTTGTTCAGTAATTATATCTGACTCTCTGTGACCCCATTTGGAGTTTTCTTGGCAGAGATACTAGGATACTTGTCATTTCCTTCTCTAGCTCATTTTACAGATGAAGAAACTGAGGCAAGCAGGGTTAAGTGACTTGCCCAAGGTCATACCTAGTAAGGTATCTGAGACTAGATTTGAACTCAGGTCTTCCTAACTCCAGGCCTGGTGCTCTATCCACTGTACCACCTAGCTGCCCCATGTTGGGTTAGGAAACTGCTAAATAGCTAAAATTGGTGAAACCAAGAATAAAGTAGAGCCATGGAGAGAGGGAGAGATACAGAGACAGAGATAGAGAGG